TGCCCCGCCCCTGTTCCTGGTCCCCAACCCCCCCGGTTGCCCCTACTCCTCTTCCTCCCCGTCCTGCCTCGTCCTGTGTGTCTCACACCACTCCCCTCCCGTCGCCTGTTCCGGTTGAGGAGTCAGCGGACTCCGGGGGCCTCGCGGCTTCGTGTTCGCCGCCTGTTTCCGCCACGGTGTCCCCTCCTCCGCCGGCGCCACCGCCGCCACCGCCGCAGCAGCATCCGTCTCCGCCGCAGTCGCAGGTGCCGCAAGGGTTAGTGAGTTCTGGGGGTGCAGGCGTTGGGGAGGGTGCTAATCTTGAGGTTATTGTCGTGGCTCGTCCCGGCAGTCTCAGGGGTGGCACCAGTGTTGTAGAGGGTTCTCGTTATGGGGGTGCTATTCATGGGGTTATTGTTGTAGCTTGACCCGGCGATCTCGGGGTTGGCACCGGTGCTGGAGAGGGTTCTCGATCTGGGGGTGCTGGAGTGGAGTGTCCCGGGGGTAGCCGTGGTTCAGCTGTAGGCTCTGGTGTCGGCGTGGAGCAGCAGCAACAGCAGCCGCTGTCGCCGCCGGTGTCCGCTCTTCTCCTCCTCGGTCTTCCCTCCGCCAGCCTCCGCCTCCCCCACCGCCGGCTCCTCTGCTTGTCTCCGGACCTGTCTTTCCTCCGCCGGAGTTGTCTGCGGCTCGTTTCCCTCCTCGTTCTCCTCCTATGTATCCTCCGGTGTCTCCTAACCCGACGCCTTCGTCCCACATCTGGTCTCGCCGTCCCTCTCGTGCTCGTCTTGTCTCCCCTGTTCAGCGCTCCCACCCTATGTTGCTTCGTTCCCACGAGTCTCGTCCTCCCCTCCTCCCGTCGCCTCCTCCGTCGTCACTTGTTGTTGCCTCGCCTCCTCCGTCTGACTTCCTTCGTGTCGCTAGTCCTCTTGTTCCTTAGGTCCTTACCTCCCTTGTTACCAACCCGTCTGTTCGTTTCTCGAGTCCTGACGCGCTTGTCACTGCCGTTGCTGTGTTCACTATGCCACCGCTCTGTTCTCTGACCCTGTCTGTCCCCCGTCCATTGGGGATGCTCCTTCCTTTGGCAGTGACATCCTGGAGGACCGGTAGTACAAACATGTTTTCCTATTTGAGGTCTCGCCTCATCTCTGCTCCGTTCAGCTAGTCCTTAAGGGGGACCCAGACGCCTTTGACATCCCCACCCCTCGCACCTACGCTGAGGCGAACTCGGGACCCTGGGCCTCTCAGTGGATAGCCGCCATGGAGCAGGAGATGGCATCTTGGAGATCCCTGGCTCCTACGTTGACGCAGTTCCCCCACCCGGGGTGAACGTAGTCGATGGCCGGTGGCTCTTCAAGGTGAAGCGCCCTCCTGGAGAGCCGCCGGTGTTCAAGGTGCACTACGTTGCTAGAGGCTTCAGTCAGCGTGAGGGTGTTGACTTTTTTTAGACCTTCGTCCCAAACCCGAAGATGACTACCCTTCAGGTGCTGCTACACGTTGCAACACTGCGTGACTACGAGCTGCATTCTCTCGACTTCTCGACCGCGTTTCTTCAGGGGAGTTTGCACGAGCAGGCCTACCTGCGTCGCCCGCCAGGCTTCACCGGCACCTTTGCCCCGGGGACCCAGTGGCTCCTTCGGCACCCAGTTTACGGCATGCGGCAGGCGCCGCGCGAGTGGCACGACACGTTGCGTGCTATCCTTGATGAGCTGCAATTCTTCCCGTCGTCTGCAGACCCCTCGTGCGAGAGTACGACACCGTTACACCAATTTCCCCTTTCCATATTTTCTTTCTATCTCATTCTTCATTTCATCTCGATTCATTTGGTCTTTATCTCATCTCATATGGTTTCATATTCCTCCTTTTCCATTATCCTTTGGTTTATCCTGTTATTATAAATATATCACCGACCAGGGTCGGGATGTACTGGCGCGCTATATCTAGCGTAATCCTGCCGTAATCCCTTAAAGCCAATAGCCTCGCGTGGCTATACGCATGGTGATTCTATTTCTAGAAGGGTCTATTCCCTTTGGATAGGATAAACCTGGTTACCTTATATACTCTGGAAGTATAAAAGCACCTTGTACTGATTGATAGTGCAACATTGAGCAAACCTTTCCTCGACACATCCAATCCTGTGACACCTCGCTCTTCGTTCGTGCTGGCAGGACCCCGTTCTACATCCTTGTCTACGTAGACGACCATGTATTTGCTACTACAGGCTGAGGCGCACTGGCCTCGGTGAAAGCCGAGGTGCTGAGGAGACACACTTGTATTGACCTAGGAGAGCTGCGTCACTACCTTGGCCTGCATATCTCCAGGGACAGAGCAGCGCGCACCGTCACTCTTACACAGTCACACTTGGTTCGCCAGGTCCTTCAGAGTTTCGGTCTTCAGTTCTCCTCTGCATAGCCCACACCTCTGTTAGTAGATCACAGGCTCTCGGCTCCAATTCCTGAGGAGTCTTTAGAGCCTAGTGGTCCTTACGCAGAGCTGTTGGGTTGCCTCATGTACTTGATGACTTGCACTCGTCCAGATCTCGCTTACCCTCTCAGCATTATGGCTCGCTTTGTGGCCACAAGCAGACACAGACCACAGCACTGGTCGGCCGCTAAGAGGGTTTTGTGTTATCTAGCAAGTACATTAGGCATGGGGCTAGTGCTAGGAGGACACAGGCCGGTGGTCCTTACAAGGCACACAGACGCTTTGTGGGCAGACGACGCTGAGACGCTCAGGTCCTCCCAGGGCTACTGCTTTAGCCTTGGTGCAGGCGCCGTCTCGTGATGGTCCACTCGTTCGTCATCTGTTGCCCAGTCTAGCTGTGAGGCTGAGATCTACGCCGGTGCCATGGCGGTACAGGAGCTCCGCTGGCTGACTTTCTTGCTCACAGACTTAGGTGAGCGGCCTAGTTCTGCCCCGGTCCTGTACGCTAACAACAGGGCCATCAGAGGCATCGCCAGGCCCGCATAGTATACTTGGCCTCTGGTGCCAACACAGTTGATATCTTTACGAAGGCTCTTGCACCTAAAGATCATCAGCGACACTATGTACAGCATGGTCTAGTTCCTGTAGCTTCTCACTTTCTAGGACCTTGATTGTGTACTACTTTCATATTATCTTGACTGGCCTTGTGGCTTTTGTCCCATTGGCTGGACTAGTAGTACCGCCCTAGGATGCTCTTGTTTAGTTTGTACTCTTGCTGACTGATCTTCGGACCCTTGCCTCAGAGGTTGGACTAGTAGTGCCACCCTGATCTGTGTGTCTCTTGCCACGCATTGCCCCTCATCTAGCATAGGGGGTGTGTTAAACATATAATGGATATGTCTTATAAGTTACATATGCCATATTATATATATATATATATATATTTGTTTAGGCTTGGTAATATGCTACAATCCCGAATCCTACTGTAAAGGGGACAACCCTTCCCTTCTTGTATCTCGTTCTCTTCTAGTACAATCCCTCTTTCTTCTCGTAACTTTCTCCTAGCCTAAAAAACCCTCTCGCCATAGCCATGGCTTCACTTCTTATCTAGTTTGTTCAACATGGTATCAGAGTAGGTCCTCCTTCTGCTCGGGCCTGCTCATCACGCTTCCGCAACGTTCGCTCCTCCCTCTTGTCCTTTCCTCGCCGCCGCCACGGCCATGTCATGCTGCAGTGACGACATCGTCGTGCTGCCATGGCAGCGTCGACGCGCCAGCGCACGGACGACATGGACGGCAGTGGCCAGCGTCCGTCCTTGGCGCTGACCAGCACGTCCGCATGCAGCCAGCGCGCCACACAGTGCGACACGCTCTCTGGCTCCGCTGCTGAAGCCCCGACCCCTTCCTCTGCGTCCCCTCTTCCTCGCCGCAACTGACGGCTGACTAACGCTGGCCTTCCCATCGTCGCAGAGTCAGACCACGCCGCCGAGTGCTGCGAGCTCCGCCGCCGCCGCTGCAGCTAGTGCCACTGGCCTCGCCACTGCATGCCGCCGCCACTGTCGCCGCTGCCACCGTCGTCGCCGTTGCAGCCGCTGTCCTCGCTGCCGACGTCGCCACCTCGCACGCCGAGGGGTTGACCATGCTGGAGAAGCCGTCGGTGCTGCTGAATATGAGGGTGCTAGGCTTAGGGGGTGTGTGGCTTAGTGTGCTCTGTGCGTAGTGTGCTTTGGCCTACCAAGCTTAGGGGGTGTGTCAAATTATATATATATATATATATATGTGTGTGTATGTGTGTATATATATTTGTTTAGGCTTGGTAGATGTGCTACAATCCTGAATCCTACTGTAGAGGGGACAAACCCCCCTCTTCTTGTATCTCGTTCTCTTCTAGTCCAATCCCTCTTTCCTCTCGTAACTTTGTTCTAGCTTAAAAAACCCTCTCGCCATAGCCATGGCTCCTCTCCTGATCTAGTTTGTTCAACAACATAGAGGGTACAACTCCTTAGACAAAACCAACCTGTTTGCCTCATTCTAGTCAATCTTTCTAATTTTGATTATACTGTAACGATGTTGATTCGGTATTCGTACATTCACGTGAGACTCCGGAAATGCCGTAAGTCCTTTACATTCAGCTCAGTCAGCTCTAAGCTCCATCCAAGGGTGGCGGTTATGCATGGTGATAGGCAACCGTGAACAGTCTTTAGTGCTGTTGAAGTAATACATATATACTGCATAATTTCAGAGTTCCAAAAAATGTTACGGAAACCTAAATCTAAGGAGATGTATATTGCAAAGAATGCAAAAAAATTCTAGCTTTGCTTGGATCATCTCACATGGAAGCATTTTCATATTCGAACATTTCTCGTAGTAATTTGGGCTAGGAATTTTGGTGGGTGACGCCATCGGAATTCGGCTCGAGGTGCCACGCGAGCCTCCCAGGCCAGTGGCTCACAGCCACGCACCTGTTATCCTTGAATGCCTGCAACTCTCGAGGGTGACGTGGAAAGACCTCTGAACTTGGGCCTCACTCAATGCTCTTTGCTCCACGTCCCTCAGGAGTTGGTTTGGGTTTGCGAGTCTACCTGCACTCTAATCTACGCCAGAGCAAGCAAAACTCCACCAGCACGCCACATCCCTGGCAGTTCTTCACGAAGCAGCGGCCTTGCCAGATAGTTCACCACGACCCCGTCCGCCATGGCTGCTCTCGCTCAACCCGCCGCGCTGCAAACTCGCTGGCCGCAACCTCTTCTAGGAGGCCGACGCCTCTTGGCTGCACCGCAGGTAGAGCAGCGCTCGGACTGTCCGCGTCGCTCGTGCTGTTCATTGGAACCTTCGTCCTTCCATTGTCGCGTGCCCTGTTGTCTCGAATCCCCACTCAATGCCATCGCCTTGCTCCTGGCAGACCAAGGTGGCCGTGCGTCCTCTCAATGCGGCCAGCGGCAAGTCGGCGGCAGTGCCCGTCACGAGGGCCTCGGCCATCATGGACTATGTCTCCGATATGAGCCGAGCCGGTAAGATGTGAGCCGCGCTGGTACGATACGAGCCGAGTTAGTACGATACGAGCCGAGCTGGTACGATATGAGCCGAGCTGGTACGATATGAGCGGAGCTGGTACGATACGAGCCGAGCCGGCATGCGCTGTTGCTCTGTTGCTGGTCACTTCAGTTATGGCTCGTCGCTACTCCGCAAGCCACAACTGCAGGGATAGCTCCTGTTCGCTAACCAACTGGGATAAAAGGGCATGTTTGTATGGTGGGTCAGCGCACCCACACCCCCCAGGACGACACGTGTAGCCCTTCAGGGGACCCTTCTGGGCCATCTCAGTGCCCCCTTCCAACAACAACCACGTCGTGTGTGCCACTTGATTTGAACTCCGGAATCCCACTCTCCACTCGTCTCCCATGCCCCCCGTGCACGGCAGCCCCCAAGGGTCTCTTCCCGCCGGAGCCCGAGAAGTACGAGGGGCCGAAGCTCAAGGTGGCCATCGTGGGCGCGGGGCTCGCCGGCATGTCCACCGCCGCTGAGCTGCTGGACCAGGGCCACGAGGTGAGCTGCTGGACCAGGGCCACGGGATAAGCATTTGACCATGCGCGAAACTCAACTTCGAATTCATTGAGTGGTATCTGATCGTTGTGAAATGCCGTGGCTGGATTTTCCGAAGAATTGAAGCACGAAGCAGGTCATCCTGATGTACTCGCGTTGAGGCTTGAAGCATTGAAGCACGAAGGAGGTCATCCTGATGTACTCGCGTTGAGGCTTGAATCATTGAAGCACGAAGCAGGTCATCCTGATGTACTCGCGTTGAAGCTTGAAGAATTGAAGCACGAAGCAGGTCATCCTGATGTACTCGCGTTGAGGCTTGAAGCATTGAAGCACGAAGCAGGTCATCCTGATGTACTCGCGTTGAGGCTTGAAGCATTGAAGCACGAAGCATGGTCAACCTGACGTACTCCAGTTCTTCGCGCCCATTTCTCGCGTTGATTCCAACTTACGCATGCCGTGTCCGATGCGTGCATGCGCGGCAATGTGCGTGTGTGCGTGTGTTGCAGGTGGACATCTACGAGGCACGGCCGTTCATCGGCGGCAAGGTGGCGAGCTTCCAGGACAAGGACGGCAACCACATCGAGATGGGTCTGCACGTCTTCTTCGGCTGCTACAACAACCTCTTCCGCCTCATGAACAAGGTAACAACCTCGTCCGCCGCCTGAACAAGGTACCAGCCTCTTCCGACTTACGAACAAGGCAAGCCCAACCTTTTCCGCCTCATGGGCACGGTAGAAATGAAAGCTTCCGCCACATGGGCAAGGTAGGCCCTTCCTCTTCCGCCTCGTGAACAAGGCAAGCCGAAGTACTAAGGGCGTGTATCAAGTGCAAGGAAAACGACGTCACCCGACGTCCCAGCGCGGTACAGTGCGTTTTCTCATGATCGAGAAGCTTTCTGTGCGTTCGGAGGCGGTGACTCGAAGTCACAAGCGTGACGTCCCACTTTTCAGCTACTTAATACACCCCCTAGTGGTTTTTAAGGAAGGGAGGCGACAAGCCTAAGGTCTAACGCTGTTTACCGAGGGCAGACATATGTTTTGTGCCCGTACCGTGTGTTTGGCGCATGGGCAGAGCGGGGCCGTGAACAACCTCCTGCGCAAGGAGCACACGCACGTCTTCATCAACAAAGGCGGCGTCACTGGCGGTGAGGCTGCGGTGCCATCAGTTCACGTCACGAGTGCTGTCAGCCAAGCCACTCTGTCAGGCCGTTGTTTGATTGTTGCAATTGCTCGACCCCCATATCTCTCTCGACTCGAGTAACCCTCACTCTAGCTTGTTGCTTCCACCATTTCCTCTCCTTTCCCATGTCCATCTCCCCCACCCCTCCCCTCCCCTCCCACCGCCCCCCTCGCCTGCCATGCGACGTGCAGAGCTGGATTTCCGGTTCATCACGGGCGCTCCCTTCCACGGGCTCAAGGCGTTCTTCACCACCAACCAGCTCTCGGTCAGTTCCTTCACTCGCCTTCCCTCACTCCCTCACTCGCCCCTCCCCCACCAACCCGCGGTCTCTCACTCGCCCCTCCCCCACCAACCCGCGGTCTCTCACTCGCCCCTCCCCCACCAACCCGCGGTCTCTCACTCGCCCCTCTCCCACCAACCCGCTGTCTCTCACTCGCCCCTCCCCCACCAACCTGCTGTCTCTCACTCGCCCCTCCCCCACCAACCCGCTGTCTCTCACTCGCCCCTCTCCCACCAACCCGCTGTCTCTCACTCGCCCCTCTCCCACCAACCTGCTGTCTCTCACTCGCCCTTCTCCCACCAACCCGCTGTCTCTCACTCGCTCCTCCCCCACCAACCCGCTGTCTCTCACTCGCCCCTCTCCCACCAACCCGCTGTCTCTCACTCGCCCCTCTCCCACCAACCCGCTGTCTCTCACTCGCCCCTCTCCCACCAACCCGCTGTCTCTCACTCGCCCCTCTCCCACCAACCCGCTGTCTCTCACTCGCCCCTCTCCCACCAACCTGCTGTCTCTCACTCGCCCTTCTCCCACCAACCCGCTGTCTCTCACTCGCTCCTCCCCCACCAACCCGCTGTCTCTCACTCGCCCCTCTCCCACCAACCCGCTGTCTCTCACTCGCCCCTCTCCCACCAACCTGCTGTCTCTCACTCGCCCTTCTCCCACCAACCCGCTGTCTCTCACTCGCTCCTCCCCCACCAACCCGCTGTCTCTCACTCGCCCCTCTCCCACCAACCCGCTGTCTCTCACTCGCCCCTCCCCCACCAACCCGCTGTCTCTCACTCGCCCCTCTCCCACCAACCCGCGGTCTCTCACTCGCCCCTCTCCCACCATCCCGCGGTCTCTCACTCTCGCCCCTCTCCCACCGCCCTCTGTGTTTGCTGCCACCCTTCCATGTGCTCCCTATGCCCACCTTCGTCCTTCCATACGACCCTGCGCTTTTCCCCCACCTCCCCCCCGGCAGCCGGTGGACAAGGCGTTCAACGCGCTGGCGCTGGCGACGAGCCCCGTGGTGCGCGCGCTGGTGGACCCCGAGGGCGCCTTCCAGGACATCCGCGACCTCGACAAGGCAAGCTGAGCACATCCTTCTGTTCCACATTGCTTGCACCACGATACTCCATCGCAGCCAGCATCGCCAATCGTGCTGACACCCCTCCTTCCCCGCACCGCATTGCACTTTCTCCTCGTTCGTTTCCACATCACATCTTGCTTGGCTGCCGCGAGCAGGTGAGCTTCAGCGAGTGGTTCACGTCGCACGGCGGCACGCGCGAGAGCATCAAGCGCATGTGGGACCCGGTGGCGTACGCGCTGGGGTTCATCGACTGCGACAACATCAGCGCGCGCTGCATGCTCACCATCTTCGCCTTCTTCGCCACCAAGACCGAGGCCTCCGTGCTGCGCATGCTCTGCGGCTCGCCCGACCGCTTCCTCGCTGGCCCCATCGCCAAATACATCACCGACCGCGGGGGGAGGTGAGCCAAGCCAAATACATTAGCGACGGGGGGAGGGGGGAGGTCAGCCAAGCCAAATACATCACGGAGAGGGGGGGGGGGAGAGGAGGTGAGCCAAATGCATGACGGAGCAAGGGGGTTTTGATGAAGGCGAGCCATGGAGGTGGGAATGTGGAAGATCAACGGGAGAACATGCAGGGTAGCCTTTGGGATAGTGTAACGTCGGAAGAATATCCTCGGTTGAGAGGTGAATGTGGATGGAATCAGGAAAGCGCGAGGAGGGGCGATAGTGAGTTTTGTGCGGGGAAGGTGGGAGGGTTGGCAGAAGAACGTGAAAGGTCTGCTTGTCGTCAGCACACCCCCCATTGCTGCCCCGTTGCCCCTCCCGCCCACGTGGTTAGGTTCCACGTGCGGCAGCCGTGCCAGGAGGTGCTCTACTCCACCGCTGCTGATGGCTCCACAGTCGTCACTGGGCTGCGCATGAAGCAGGTGGGGGGGGGGGAGGGATGGGCGTGAAGCAGGTGAGGGGAGGGAGGGATGGGCGTGAAGCAGGTGGGGGGAGGGATGGGCGTGAAGCATGTGGGGGGAGGGATGGGCGTGAAGCAGGTGGGGGGAGGGATGGGCGTGAAGCAGGTGGGGGGAGGGATGAGCGTGAAGCATGTGGGGGGAGGGATGGGCGTGAAGCAGGTGGGGGGAGGGATGAGCGTGAAGCAGGTGGGGGGAGGGATGGGCGTGAAGCAGGTGAGGGGAGGGATGGGCGTGAAGCAGGTGGGGGGGGGGGGGAATTGGGAATGAAACTGGCGAGAGGGGGAATTGGCATGAAGCGGGTGGGCACGAGCATGTAAATGCATGGTGGAGTCCATAGAGCCATTGATTCACTGGTTTGTTCTGAGGCTGATTCCCAACGCTCCGTGCTCTCCCTCTCTCCCTCGCTGTGATCCCTGGGCAGGCTGGAGGCAAGGAGCAGATCGTGACGGCTGATGCCTATGTTGCTGGTACGTTCACGTTGGGGGGATGGGCTGCTCTGGTCCAGTCATGGGAGGTAGAGAGCACCACGCTTCTAGGAATCTGAGGCCCTGCTGGGGTTCTGCGTGAATGGAACAGAATATGCACATCCTGCAATGTCTGCTTATGGAGTTTGCTTCTTTCATCTCTTTCATCTCTGGTCCTTCCCATTCCCTCCACCCCCCTTCCCCCCCCAATCAGCTCTGGACGTGCCTGGGGCGAAGCGGCTGGTGCCGGGGGAGTGGCGGGAGCGGTGGGCGCAGTTTGCGGACATCTACCAGCTGGAGGGCGTGCCGGTGATCACCGTGCAACTGCGCTATGACGGCTGGGTCACTGAGATGAACGACATCGAACTCTCTAGGTGCGCCCAGCGCTGTCGCTTGTGCAGACCTCACCCTTGCTTCTGTCATGGCGCACACCACCCTCGCGTGTGTGTGAGACGCCTGAACCACCCTTGCAGCTTCTCGCGGCCTCTCTTGCTAAGCTCTGTTGATGTCCTCGCCCTCTTCCGTGCAGGCAGCTGGCCCGGGCGGCCGGCCTGGACAACCTGCTGTATTCGCCAGACGCGGACTTCTCGTGCTTCGCTGACCTGGCGCTCACCAGCCCCGACGACTACTACAAGGAGGGCCAGGGCTCCCTCATGCAGTGAGTGGCGCCCCGCCCATGGCGTCTCTCGTGTCCATGGCTGCATTGCCCACTCACGGCATTACGGCTTGCTTGTGACTTTTGAGTCGACTCAAAAGTCACCTCGTGTCCATGGCTGCATTGCCCACTCACGGCATTACGGCTTGCTTGTGACTTTTGAGTCGACTCAAAAGTCACCTCGTGTCCATGGCTGCATTGCCCACTCACGGCATTACAGCTTGCTTGTGACTTTTGAGTCGACTCAAAAGTCACCTCGTGTCCATGGCTGCATTGCCCACTCACGGCATTACGGCTTGCTTGTTACGCCGCCACCACGTTGTGTGCTCGAATCCCTGAGTGCTCCTGCTTCTGCCCAGAGAATGCCCTCTAAATTCCTCACTATCCCCATCCTTTCGTTGTCTCTTCATGTTATTACATGGGTAACACTCTGGTTTCTACTTATTTCATAAACCCCTTACCCATGCTTCCCCTCGTCTGTGACCCCCCTCTCCCCCCCCCCTCCCCCCGCGCCCTCCGTGTATGTGCGGCATGGCAGGGTGGTGATCACCCCAGCAGACCCCTACATGCCCCTGACCAACGAGGCCATCGTGGCAAAGATGAATGACCAGGTGAAGTTCCTTCATGCCTGTGTCTCAACATTTCTGCTGGGCTGAATGTGGAGCATTGTGAGCATGGCATGCATTCCTAAACCATCAACAACCCTGAACCATCAACAACCCTGAACCCTGCTCCTCGGCGCGCCAGGTGATGGACCTGTTTCCGTCGGCGCGCGGGCTGAACCTGCTGTGGCACAGCGTGGTGAAGATCAACCAGTCGCTGTACCGCGAGGCGCCCGGCCTGGACCAGTTCCGGCCCGACCAGCAGACGCCGGTCCCCAACTTCTTCCTCGCCGGCTCCTACACCAAGCAGGTACCTGCCGCCCTCCCCTGCCCTGCCCGTGTGCCCCCTCCACTTGCTCTTTACACTGCTGACTTTGCCCCTTGACCGTCCCATCACATCTACCCCTCCCCTGTCTGCACCCCCCACCCTCCCCCCCTCCCACCCTCCCCACGACCAGGACTACATTGACAGCATGGAGGGTGCCACACTGTCGGGTCGGAGGGCAGCGGCGCGCATCTGCGAGGCGGGCGAGGCCATCAGCCGGCTCAGCGCCGCGCAAAGACAAGCCGCCCCTGCCACTGCTGCTTGACCTCCGTTTTGCTCCTAGTGTCTTGTAACCACATGACAAGTGGTACCATATTCAATAATAACTGGTTGTGCTTGTGCTAGTTGCTTGTAAGTAATTTGGTGGCACCATCTAGCCTGCCGTGGGAAGCATGAATAGTCAAGGCCCATGGCGTGTGGCGTGCATGGATGGGATGTGGCTTATGGAAACAAGGCTGAATCCACCATGCCATGACCATGCCAAGTGCGGGTCTTTTCCTGCAAAACAAGCTTACCGTTGTTGCTCGAAGTGACATTGAACATGCATAAGACTAGAATGACTATGAGGAATATGGTACGGTCTGTAAAAAGTTGACTCACAAGCGAGTCATTGATCCCAAATATTGCCCCTTGCTTCCACCAATTTGCCCACACCTCATGATCACCCGCGCCGTGATGTTGGGCTCCGCGCACCCTGCCCACCGTGCCGTCGCCCTGCGCCGGCCAGCCACTTCCGCCGTCCTCTCCGCCGTGCTCGCCAGGGCTGTCCTTCCGCCGCCACCCGCCCCTGGCGCTCGCTACCCATCTGCTCCCCGCGCGTCCGCACCAGACGTACCTCCGCCTCCTCGCCGCGCCACCCCGCTTGCCCAGATTGATTCGCGGCGGGCCGGCGGAGACGCGTACCGCGCGCTACCTCGCCCCCGCTTGGTGCAAGGGGGCGTCATCCGCGAAGGGTGGTCTCTCCCCGCGGCTTGGCGCACAGGCAGCGAGGGCCGGTGGCGGGGACTGGTGGTGGGCGCGCGGAGTGATGGGCGCGGAGGGGGGGAGGGGGAGAGGGGCAGCTCGAAGGCGGACGGAGTTGGGGAGAGTGGCGGTGGTGGGGGAGAGGAGAAGGCGACTACGAGGAGGGGACGAAGAAAAGGAGGGGAGGAAAGAGTGGTGGATGTGGGAGAGCAGAGTGCGGTGAGGGGGACAGAGTCGGCCGCAGGTGCAGCACGCTCAGCAGTGGCGGAGGAGAGTTCAGGGGGAGGGGTAGTAGAGGGAGAGGCGGAGAGGGAAGGAGGGGGCGAGGGTGCAGCGCGTGATCAAGTGCTGTTCGTACGTGCACCATGCACACCGCCCCCACTGCATCATGCAGGGCGCACGCATGGGCGTATATCAGGAGTTGCATGGGCGTATATCAGGAGTTGCATGGGCGTATATCAGGAGTTGCATGGGCGTATATCAGGAGTTGCATGCTCCCCGCCCGATCCTTCCATGCTTCTCCCTGCTCCCGCCCACCCGCTGTGCCACTCATTGATGGACGCACTCCTCTCTCTCTCCCCCCCACTCCTCACTTCTTCTCCTCTCCACCTCTGTCCACCACCACCCGTGCAGCCCCCCCCTGTGGTCCCTGCGGCCTTCGAGCGCGTGCAGCAGTGGGTGCTCTTCTCCGACCTCCACGTGTCCCGCCGCAATGCAGAGCTGTGCGCCGCGCTGCTGAAGCACGTGCATGGCCTGGCCAAGGACAGGTGGGTGCAGCCACGACTGTGGTTGAGCGCGGAGACGAATTCAGATGAGCTCGGAGATGCCGTTGCGCAGCGTGAATGACACTCAGGAATCGTTCATTCTGCTGCAGAAATACAAGTCACCACAGCATGGCCTTGTGGGTCTCCATGGCATATCACGGCATGGCATGGCATGGCATGGCATGTCAGGGCGGCAGGGGTGGTGTTTCTGGGCGACTTCTGGCACGTGAGGGGGTCGCTGCCAGTGGAGGCGCTGAACGCCGTCATGGGTGTCATGGGGCCGCACTGCTGGACGCAGCCCACCATCATGATCCCAGGCAACCATGACCAGGTGCGATCCCAGGCAACCATGACCAGGTGTGATCCCAGGCAACCATGACCAGGTGTGATCCCAGGCAACCATGACCAGGTGCGATCCCAGGCAACCATGACCAGGTGCGATCCCAGGCAACCATGACCAGGTGCGATCCCAGGCAACCATGACCAGGTGTGATCCCAGGCAACCATGACCAGGTGGGATCCCAGGCAACCATGACCAGGTGTGATCCCAGGCAACCATGACCAGGTGGGATCCCAGGCAACCATGACCAGGTGCGATCCCAGACAACCATGACCAGGTGTGATCCCAAACAACCATGTCAATGTTCAATTGCACTGAAGTCGTCATGGTTTATTTTTGTTGCCTTCCCTCTATGGGTGGATTTACTTGCCGTCCCGGTCCCCTCCGCACTCCGCACTCCACACCCCACATCCCGCCCTCTCCCCCCACCAGGTATCGATGGACGGCTCGCAGCACGCGCTGTCTGTGTTCGCGTGCATCAACCCGCACATCGTGGTAATCTCGCGCCCCACTGTGCTGCTCTCCGCGCTCTGGCTGCCCTTCCGCCACCACGCGCCCATCCTCACCGCCGCCATGCACCAAGCGCTCCACCCGCAGGCCCCCTCCTCCCCCTCCCTCCCCCCCACGCCGCCCATCCGTGCCATCTTCCTGCACGCGGACGTGGAGGGTGCGCAGCGCAGCAGCGCGGAGGGTGCCACCACGCTGCCCGGTGAAGGCCTCGACCCGCTGGCTCTCCCCCCTGGCGTGCCGCTGTACTCGGGGCACCTGCACCTGCCGCACACCGTCAACAAGGGCGGGCGCGCCGTGCAGTACGTGGGGTCGTGTGTGCAGCACAGCTTCGGCGAGGCGGGGCAGAGCAAGCGCGCCGTGGTGGTGCGGGCCGACTCGTGGGAGCGCGTGGAGGACATCCCGCTGGACGTGGGGCCGCGCCACTTCATCATCCCCGCCCCTCACTTGCAGCAGCGTGAGGGGCTGTCCGCCGCACAGGCGATGGAAGAGGCGGTGCGGCGTGTGGTGCCGCAGCTGAGGCCAGACGACCTCGTGCGCTGGGAGGTGCCGGCGGGGGCAGACGCCAAGGACACCAGGGAGGCGCTGGTGAGTGAATTCGACGCTGTGGTGCCGGTGGTAGCTTGCTAGATGCCCATGCTGACCTCTGGTGATATTACAGGTCGTTTCTCTCGCATTTTACACCCCAGTATGGCTATTCCCTCACCTCGTTGCCTTGCAGGCCTCCCTACGCGCCACAGGAGCGTTGGTGCAGACTATCGCATCGCAGGCTATTACCCGCCCCCCGCGCATCTTGCAGGCCGACACACTGGTGGGTGGGGAGAGGTGTGAGACGCTGCTGGGTGGCACAGTGGTGTGTGGGCGGGGTGAGGTGAAGAAAGAGTGGTTGGGGTGTGTGAGACGCACACTGCATTCAGAGGGAGGGAGGCGTGTGCATGTGGAGAGGCGTGTGCATGTGGAGAGGCGTGTGCATGTGGAGAGGCGTGTGCATGTGGAGAGGCGTGTGCATGTGGAGAGGCGTGTGCATGTGGAGAGGCGTGTGCATGTGGAGAAAGGAGCACTCATCCTGCGCATGCTGCTGTCGATTCCCCTCGTCTTTCTAACATTCCTTCCTCTTCCATCTGCATTCTAAAACCCCTTCCAACCCCCTTCCCAGGAGCCCTCACGGGTGTTTGCCAGCTATGCCACTGCCGCCCATCTGCCCTCATCCGTCCTGTCTGCCGCCCAAGACGTGCTCAAGGAGCTGGACGTGCCGCCCAGGCTCATGCACAGCACCAGTGGTGAGAGGGATGAGGCGTGAAGGCCCGGCTGGGTCCTGGGGGCAGGAGGAAGGGATGGATTGCGTGGGTGGGTGGGTGAGTGCTGCGTGCTCCATTCCTGCTCCGCCCATTCGCCCTCTCATGCCCTGTATTGTCCTCCTCGTCCTCTTTCTCGTCTCTGCGCCCCTCTCTGCGCCCTCCCATCGGTTGTCTTTCCTTTCACCCCACAACTCGCTTCAACCCCAACTTCCGCCCCCTCGTCCGCCCCCTCTCCCCCTCAGCGCACGTGTGTCTGCATTCGGTGCATCTGAGTGGCTTTGGCCCCTTCCTCGCCCCGGCGTTCTACCCCCTGGCCTCGCGCGGCATCGTGCTGCTGTGCGGCCGCAACGACGACAGCAGCGGCGCCGCAGCAGACAGCAACGGCGCGGGCAAGACGTCGCTGGCCATGGCAGCGCTGTGGGGGCTGACGGGCGACATGGACGCACGGCCCGAGGGCAGGGGGGGGCTGCGCATGGCGGACGTGGTGCACCGTGGGCAGGGGGAGGGAGAGGGGGCAGGGGAGGGTGGTGGGGAAGGGAAGGCGAAAGGGAGGAGGAAGAAGGGAGAGGGTAATGGAGGAGGGGTGGCACGCGTGCGAGTGGAGGGAGCGGTGAATGGGACGCCGTTCGTGGTGGAGCGAGAGGCGTCCAGGTGGGTGTGTCAGTGCGGGTGGGGGGGGGGTGTCCTGCTTGGGAGACGAGCATGGAGCAAGGGGCCATCGCAGCCTTCGTTGGTTCTCCCTCCGCGCTGCTCCTCCCACTCTTCCTCACCAAACCTCTCCGTCTCCTGTCCTCTTCCCCCCGTCCCCGTGCCCTGTCCGTCGCTCGTGTGCGTGCAGCCGCCGCTCTGCACTGCGCTTTGAGGTGGGCGGCGAGGACCACACGTGCCAGGAGATGAGGCTCACGCAGGAGAGGATCGACGCGCTCATGTGAGAACCGACGCACCCGTATCGTTGTCGCTATGTGCAAGTCCCCACAGCTAGATATGCACGCCTAGGGTATCTGGCTCACACGATTTTTGTGTTGATTGTTGTGTGCCTGCACCTCTGTGTGTGTGTGTGTGGGGGGGGGGGGGGGGAGAGTGTGTGTGTGTGTGTGGGTGGGTGTGGGTGGGTGGGTGTGTGTGGGGGGGGGGGGGGGGGGGGGGGGGTGTGGGTGTGTGTGCGTGGGTGCAGGGACACGTCTCTGCTGTCGCGCACGGTCTTCTTCGGGCAGCACTCTACCGCCTCGCTGCTGGAGGCCAACGACGCTGACTTCAAGGCACCCTCACCCCCCCACCCTCACTATGCCACTTACCTGTCTTGACCTTTTTCTCCGTCTTTCACACTTCCACTCTCCTCTCTCCACTCTTTCCGTTTTCCCCCTCCAGTCTCCTCCCTCCCACGCCCTTCTCTCCACCAATGCTCCCTGTTCCTACAGCCCCATCGCTTGTCGCCGATGTGATCCAGATGCCTTCCCTCGCCTCTCGCCTTCTACCCAAGCCACAGTGCCACTTCCCTTCTCTGCTCACCAGATCCATCACTTCACTCTGCTGCTTTTTCTCATGCTCAACCTCTCTGCCCTTGCACTGCCTGCCCTGCCTGCCCCCCCCGGCTGCCATGTGTGCGGCAGGCGGAGCTGAGTCGGGTGGTGGGCATGGAGGTGTGGGGGGGCGCCAAGGCCGCCAGCAGGGAGAGAGTAAGGGCGCTGCAGGCACGCTTGGGGGAGATGAGGGGCGGGCTGCAGGCGCGCACTGATGCGGTCACGAGACTGGCGCGCATGGTGGGTGGGGAGGCAGGAAGGCGAGGGCAGAGTGTTGAGCTGGTGAAGAGCAAGCGGTGTGTCGTCGTCAGGACTCCCAGAATTCTGTGACTCCTCACATGCGTCATGTCTCACTGGGTGTTCATTCACGCACACCATCCAACCCTCATGCACTGCGCCATGCCATCTTGCCTGCCATGCCATCTTGCCTGCCATGCCATCTTGCCTGCCATGCCATCTTGCCTGCCATGCCATCTTGCCTGCCATGCCATCTTGCCTGCCATGCCATGATGCTGCTTTATGCATGGCCCATGGCAGGTGGAAGAAGCAGAGGGTGCATTCTCCACATGGGAGGAACACAGGTACCACATGGGAGGAACACAGGTGCCACATGGGAGGAACACAGGTGCCACATGGGAGGAACACAGGTGCCACATGGGAGGAACACAGGTGCCACATGGGAGGAACACGGTGCCACATGGGAGGAACACAGGTGCCACATGGGAGGAACACAGGTGCCACATGGGAGGAACACAGGTGCCACATGGGAGGAACACATGTACCACATACGCACGGACATGGCCCTAAACTTAAACCCGAAACCCTCAGCCTAGGAAAGTGCTATTTGTTTGCATCACCAGGCTCCATGCTTTGCTTGCAGCTTGTGCTCGCGCGTTTGCGGTGGCTGGCAGGTGTCTCTGCTGAGGAATAAGTCGGTGTGTGCAGACGTCACCACTCACTGCCCACCCCCTCACCCCCCACCCCCCTGCCCGCCCACAGGGCCATCCGCCAGCAGCGGCTGCAGCAGCAGCAGCAGCAGGCGGAGCAGCAGCTGGCCGCGGCCTGCCAGTGCCTCTCCTCGCAGCTCTCCCCGCGCCTGCAGGCCGCTGTGGCGCGCTCGCACTCACACGCCCTCGCCCTGCACTCCGCCGTGCTCGCCTCGCTCGCTGGGGGGGGGAGGGAGGGAGAGGGGGGCGCAGATGAGAGGGGGGAGGGCGGGTCAACGGAAGCGAGGGGCGCGGAGGAGGAGGAGGAGATGGAGCTGAGGGAGCGCGGCTTGATGACTGAAATCGCGTGTCTACAGGGCGAGGTGGGTGATTGGGAGATGCATGGAAGGGTTTGAGGGGAAATGGATGGTTGCTTGCGCTGTTAAATGCCTGCTAGGGTGCATTCCCACATTCGCGTAGCGGCTCTTGCCCCGTGAATGCATCCCATCCCACCCACGCTCTGTGCTGCCCCCATTGCGTGTTCCGTCGGCCCTCAGCTGTCAGCGGCGCGGGCGGGGCTGGCGGACCAGCAGCGGCGGCTGGGCGAGTTTGAGGCGCACGTGGGGGGGGCGGTGGGGGGAGGGCAAGTGCTGGTGTGCGACAGGTGTCAGCAGCCCATTGACCCGCTGCACGCGGCGGAGTGCAGCAGGCAGCTCAGGGCCGAGGTGGAGGAGACGCAGCAACAGCTGGCAGCCAGGACGGAGGTGGGGGGCTCTTGTGTGAGCTGTGGACGTCCCTTGGTCCTCCCTGTGCTTTTTTTCACACTGACATCCTTGTCTCCCTTGTTCCTCCCCATGCGCTGCCTCACTGCTCCCACATCGCCAGCAGCTTCTCCCCAGCGCGTTTCATCCTTCTCACCCTCACCCCGGTCCCGTTCCTCACCCTCATCCCCCCTCTGCCCCGCCAGGCGCAAGAGGCGCTGCAAGCTGAGCTGGTGGGCGTGCGGGGGTGGGTGGAGGCGAGGCGAAGGGGGAGGCGGGAGAGGGAGGAGAGGGACGCACAGGCACGGAGGAGACAGCAGCAGGCAGCCATGGCGCAGCAGGAGGAGGTGCGTGTGGGGTGGGGTGGGTGGGGTGGGCCCCGGTGTGTCTCTCTAGTGCGTGCGGCACATGCATCGTTTGGCTTGGCTACCACCCATCGCCACGCAGCCTCTCACTTGTCAATATAACACCCCATCATATAACACCTTATCACTGAATGTGTCACCATGCAATGTCGCGCCGCAAGCCATGAGCTGTCAAACCGCCTCTCCTCTCCCCTCCTCCTTCCAGCTGAGGGCGGTGCAGCGCTACACGGCGGCAGCGTCCCAGGCGCTGGACGCGCTGCTGCTCTTCCTGCACCGCCACGCCGCGCACCTGCCCGCCCCGCTGCCCCCGCCCCCCGCTTCCGCTGATGCGGGTGCTGCTGAATCTGATGGCGACGCGGCGTGGCGGCAGGAGGAGGTGGCGGCTGTGATCCGCGAGGCGGGCGCTGCTCTTAAGGGGGTGGAGGAGACGGAGGGTGAAGTGGAGAGGCGGAGGAGGGAGGTGGAGCGGGAGAGGGGGGAGGTAAACCCGCACGAGGGGGAGACGCGGCGGCTGCAGCAGTTGCTGGAGGAGGGGCGGCGGGAGGTGGGGGCGGTGGAGGGGGAGGTGCATGCGGTGGAGGCGCAGCTGGCGGTCATGAGGCACGTGGACGCTGCCTTTGGCCTCGCGGGGGTGCAGGTGAGGGCAACAGGGGTGCAGGTGAGGGCAACAGGGGTGCAGGTGAGGGGCAACAGGGGTGCAGGTGAGGGGCAACAGGGGTGCAGGTGAGGGGCAACAGGGGTGCAGGTGAGGGGCAACAGGGGTGCAGGTGAGGGCAACAGGGGTGCAGGTGAGGGGCAACAGGGGTGCAGGTGAGGGCAACAGGGGTGCAGGTGAGGGCAACAGGGGTGCAGGTGAGGGCAACAGGGGTGCAGGTGAGGGGCAACAGGGGTGCAGGTGAGGGGCAACAGGGGTGCAGGTGAGGGGCAACAGGGGTGCAGGTGAGGGGCAACAGGGGTGCAGGTGAGGGCAACAGGGGTGCAGGTGAGGGGCAACAGGGGTGCAGGTGAGGGCAACAGGGGTGCAGGTGAGGGCAACAGGGGTGCAGGTGAGGGCAACAGGGGTGCAGGTGAGGGCAACAGGGGTGCAGGTGAGGGGCAACAGGGGTGCAGGTGAGGGCAACAGGGGTGCAGGTGAGGGGCAACAGGGGTGCAGGTGAGGGGCAACAGGGGTGCAGGTGAGGGGCAACAGGGGTGCAGGTGAGGGGCAACAGGGGTGCAGGTGAGGGGCAACAGGGGTGCAGGTGAGGGGCAACAGGGGTGCAGGTGAGGGCAACAGGGGTGCAGGTGAGGGCAACAGGGGTGCAGGTGAGGGGCAACAGGGGTGCAGGTGAGGGCAACAGGGGTGCAGGTGAGGGCAACAGGGGTGCAGGTGAGGGCAACAGGGGTGCAGGTGAGGGCAACAGGGGTGCAGGTGAGGGCAACAGGGGTGCAGGTGAGGGCAACAGGGGTGCAGGTGAGGGCAACAGGGGTGCAGGTGAGGGCAACAGGGGTGCAGGTGAGGGCAACAGGGGTGCAGGTGAGGGCAACAGGGGTGCAGGTGAGGGCAACAGGGCAGGGGTGCAGGTGAGGGCAACAGGGGTGCAGGTGAGGGGCAACAGGGGTGCAGGTGAGGGCAACAGGGGTGCAGGTGAGGGGCAACAGGGGTGCAGGTGAGGGGCAACAGGGGTGCAGGTGAGGGGCAACAGGGGTGCAGGTGAGGGGCAACAGGGGTGCAGGTGAGGGGCAACTGCTTTCTCAGAGTTGCGCCTCTGCTCCCTCCCTTGGCACGAGCCAGGGTTGTTTCTCCATTCATGTGCGCTTCCATCCTCGGTGTCTCGCCCGCCTCAGAGCTTCGTCCTGGAGGGGGCTCTCTCGGAGCTGGACGCGCACGTGGCGCGCTACCTCTGCGCCCTCTCAGCGGGTGCGCTGCACCTGCACCTCTCGCCCACACGCGCCACCGCCACTAGCAGCACTGCCAAGGGGGGCCGGAAGAAGCGGACAAAGAAGGCCAGTGGGGCGGGGAAGAACGGTGCGGGTGACAGCAGCACGGACTCTGAAGCGTCAAGCATGAGCGAGAGCGAGGGGGGCGAGGGCGGCGCAGAGGAGGCGGGCAGCGGGGCGGGCCAGACGCTGGAGCGCATCGACAAGAGTGTGTGGGTGCACCTGGCGTCGGGGGAGCTCGTCCCGCGCGCCCTCAGGCAGCTCAGTGGTGGGGAGCGCCGCCGCGTGGCGCTGGCCCTGGCGCTGGCCTTTGCTGAGGTGGCGGCGGAGCGCAGCGGCGTGCGCTGGGACCTGCTGGTGCTGGACGAGGTCTTCCAGGTGAGCCGCTCGCCCTGCCATGCCGTGCTCTACCTTGCTGCTCCTGTTGCTTGTACTGGATGGGCACAGCACGGCCGCCTTGCACACTGGTTTCAGTTCAACTCTTATGTCTGTAACCCTCTTACGGTTCCACTCTCCTGCGCCCACCCAACCAATCCACCCCTGCCCCCAACAGCACCTGGACGACCAGGGCGTGGCGGCGGTGGCGGCGGTGCTGCGGTCGCTGCCGCAGCGCACGGTGGTGGTGGTGTCGCAGGCCAACAGCCGCGAGGCGCTCGCTGAGTTCGGCGCCGTGGACTGGGTGGTGAAGCGCCGCGACGCCGCCACCGTAGAGCTCGCACACATGTAGCTCCACTTGAGGCGCCGGGGGCTGGGTCTATGTAGAACCTGGCATAGGCCATCCACAGTCTTGTTGCACGCGTTGTGCTTTGAAGGCAGGGTTATGTTCAGATTGTGCTTCTGCACATGTGTGAGACGCATGGGCCCCTAGGGGACCTGCTGCACGCGTGCGTTGGGACCTGCTGGTGCTGGACGAGGTCTTCCAGGTGAGCCGCTAGCCCTGCCATGCCGTGCTCTACCTTGCTGCTCCTGTTGCTTGTACTGGATGGGCGCAGCACGGCCGCCTTGCACACTGGTTTCAGTTCAACTCTTATGTCTGTAACCCTCTTACGTCTGTAACACTCTTACGTCTGTAACACTCTTATGCTCCCCTAGTGAAGCCACTCTACACTGCTGGTTGTCTTCTCACTGGTGTGCACCCAGTCCGCTCTGCATTGGTCTCTTGCTGATGTGGCGAATCAAGCTTTAGAAACGAAGGTTGCGCCAGGAAGACAACTGAAAAGGACCCATCACAATAACCAGGCAACTGGCACCAGCTGCATGTGGAGCTCGACAAGACCAGTGTCACAATCACACGTGTTTGAAACTCGGCAAAAACTGCCATGTCCTTGGCTCATCTCTTCTTGCTCTGCGCTGCCTTGGCTCGTTTCTTCTTAGTGGCTTTGGGCACCTTGGTGAGGCGCGCCACGCGCTTCTCCTCCTTCACCTTCTTCTTGTTCTCCTTGCGCAGCGCCCGCACCTCCTCCCTGCTCACCGCCGCTCCCTTGCCTCGCCTGCCACCCTCCTCCCCCTCACCTTCCTCGTCCTCTGACAGATCGCTTCCCTCCTCACTCCCCTCCTCACTCCCCTCCTCGCTCCCCTCCTCGCTCTGCTGCTCCTCCCCACCGTCCACCGCCTCCTCTCTCCCATCTTGGCCTCGTTGCAAAACCGCTTGAGCACCCCCTTCACTCTTGCTGCTCTCCTCACCTTCAGCTCCCTCTCTTTCCCCCCTCACCGCCCCCATGCTCTCTCCGCCACCCTGCCCACCATCCCCACGCCCCGCCCCTCCCGCCCCCTCCCCCAGCTGCAGGATGTCGGGCAGCGTGCGCACGCCCGAGAGGTCGGGCTTGAGCCCAAGCATGGCACGGTAGAAGATGCCCTCCAAGGGGGGGGCGGCGGACGTGGGTGCTGCTGCACTGCCGCTTCCGCTGCTGGTGGGTGGTGCAGCGGCTGCTGCACGCACTGCCGCACCCCCATCGCTGCCATGCGCCCCTTGCTCCGAACCACTGCGCGCCCTTCCCTCCTGCTGCGCCGCCTTGGTGGCGGAGGCAATGCGGCGGATATCGGCCTCGGCGTCCTTCACCTGGTCCAGCGACTGCGGGATGAACGACTGCCATAGGGGAGGCGGAGGGGGGGGGCGCGGGGGGGGGGGAAGACAACAGGATATGAGGGATGAGCGATGCAGAGGCTAGGAAGGCTGGGGGGGGGAGTGAAATGTGCATGAGATGCTGCAGCATGGATGCACGCAGCACAATGCCGGACATCTCCTTTGCGCACGACACAAGAGGGCGACTAACCTGAAGCAACACGGACCTGAAGCCTCACCTGAAGAAAGACGTTTTCGGCGATCGTTTCTTGTGCCGTTGGCTCCAAGGGCCGGCTGGCTGCCCTCTCTTGCAACTGCCAGGGCAATGCGCACACGTGCACATGCAGACACCGCATAGACATCCACAACATATGACATCCACAACATATGACATCCACAACATATGACATCCACAACATATGACTATGGTAGTACAGATGCACAATCAAATACAAACGCAGATGCACATGCAGCAACGTGTGCCCACATGCAGCAACGTGTGGCCACATGCAGCAACGTGTGCCCACATGCAGCAACGTGTGGCCACATGCAGCAACGTGTGCCCACATGCAGCAACGTGTGGCCACATGCAGCAACGTGTGGCCACATGCAGCAACGTGTGGCCACATGCAGCAACGTGTGCCCACATGCAGCAACGTGTGCCCACATGCAGCAACGTGTGCCCACATGCAGCAACGTGTGCCCACATGCAGCAACGTGTGGCCACATGCAGCAACGTGTGGCCACATGCAGCAACGTGTGGCCACATGCAGCAACGTGTGCCCACATGCAGCAGCGTGTGCCCACATGCAAAAACGTGTGCCCACATGCAGCAAGCAACGTGTGCCCACATGCAGCAACGTGTGCCCACATGCAGCAACGTGTGCCCACATGCAGCAACGTGTGGCCACATGCAGCAACGAGTGGCCACATGCAGCAACGTGTGCCCACATGCAGCAACGTGTGACCACATGCAGCAACGTGTGGCCACATGCAGCAACGTGTGGCCACATGCAGCAACGTGTGACCACATGCAGCAACGTGTGGCCACATGCAGCAACGTGTGGACACATGCAGCAACGTGTGGCCACATGCAGCAACGTGTGGCCACATGCAGCAACGTGTGGCCACATGCAGCAACGTGTGGCCACATGCAGCAACGTGTGCCCTCATGCAGCAACGTGTGACCACATGCAGCAACGTGTGCCCACATTCGTGACAATCCTCCCTGCAGAAGAGGAGTGCCTCCTGACTGTGAATTGGCGTTTCCTGACACCACACACACATGCACTCGCACACACGCGCTCGTGCGCGTGCACACACACACGCCTGGCAAACCCACACATGCACGGCGACTGCACCTTGTGCAGGCAGTCGTCCACAAGGTCGTCCGGCAGCACGGGGTCTGTGACAAAGTCAAACAGCTCGCGCACCCACAGCACCGCCACGCCCCTCCGCCGGAAAAAATCCTGCCAGGGGTTTGGAGGGGGGAGGGATGGTGGGAAGATTGGTCTGGATTGTATGTGCGGTGAGGGGCGACACATTGGTGAGCGAATGCTGACTTGTGCAATCCACTGGGTGCTAGAGGTAAGACAGCATGCTCACCATGATATGCACTTACAGTCACATGCACTTACAGTCACATGCACTTACACTCACGTGCACTTACAGTCACGTGCACTTACAGTCACATGCACTTACACTCACGTGCACTTACAGTCACGTGCACTTACAGTCACATGCACTTACAGTCACATGCACTTACAGTCACATGCACTTACACTCACGTGCACTTACAGTCACGTGCACTTACAGTCTCATGCACTTACACTCATGTGCACTTACAGTCATGTGCACTTACAGTCACATGCACTTACACTCACGTGCACTTACAGTCACGTGCACTTACAGTCACGTGCACTTACAGTCACATGCACTTACAGTCACATACACTTACAGTCACGTGCACTTACAGTCACGTGCACTTACAGTCTCATGCACTTACACTCACGTGCACTTACAGTCACATGCACTTACAGACACATGCACTTACAGTCACATGCACTTACAGTCACGTGCACTTACAGTCACGTGCACTTACAGTCACATGCACTCACAGTCACGTGCACGCAGTCCTCTCGAAGGAAGTCGAGCGCCCGTGGATGGTCGAGATCCACCGACTGCGACACGTCGATCACCCACACCTTGCCCTGGGGGTACCACAGTGGGGCGACAAAGTTATGAGAGTAAAAATGAACAACAATATACATAAATTTTGATAAAACTCTGAATGTGAACAGAAGATTGTAATTTCAGAACATAAACAGAACAAATAGCTGTAGATATAAATATAGGGGAACAGAGGCACGGGCATGGAGGCAGCGAAAGAGAGAGGGAGAGGCATGGGGGCATGAGAGACAAAGAGACGGCACCAGCATGAAGAAGGGCAGCTTTGAGGCGCCTCAAAACTAGGCACGAGCATGAAGGCGGGCAGCGGCGTGGAACACGGTGCCATGACCCCACCTGCAGGTACAGCAGGTTGTACTCGCTGAGGTCGCCGTGCACGAGGCGGCACTTGCGGTACATGCGCCACATGGCCACCACCACCTGCCCGTAGCACTCGCGCCACCGCGACTCTGACAGCTGCACGTCCTTCAGACGGGGCGCGCCCCACCCCTCCGTGCCTGCCATAACGTGCCGTGCCGTGCCATGTCATGCCACGCCATGCCCACAAAAGCCTTGGGAATAATGAGCTCCCAGTGGGAGTGCGCAGAATCCCAGTGGGAGTGGGCAGACTGTTAAGAGACAAAAGCACGGCGCTACACCTGATGAGAGCACGCACCGATGAAGGACATGACGAGCGCACGCACCGATGAAGGACATGACGAGCGCACGCAACGATGAAGGACATGACGAGCGCACGCACCGATGAAGGACATGACGAGCGCACGCACCGATGAAGGACATGACGAGCGCACGCACCGATGAAGGACATGACGAGCGCACGCACCGATGAAGGACATGACGAGCGCACGCACCGATGAAGGACATGACGAGCGCACGCACCGATGAAGGACATGACGAGCGCACGCACCGATGAAGGACATGACGAGCACACGCACCGATGAAGGACATGACGAGAGCACGCACCGATGAAGGACATGACGAGCGCACGCACCGATGAAGGACATGACGAGCACACGCACCGATGAAGGACATGACGAGAGCACGCACCGATGAAGGACATGGCGAGAGCACGCACCGATGAAGGACATGACGAGAGCACGCACCGATGAAGGACATGGCGAGAGCACGCACCGATGAAGGACATGGCGAGAGCACGCACCGATGAAGGACATGACGAGCACACGCACCGATGAAGGACATGACGAGCGCACGCACCGATGAAGGACATGACGAGAGCACGCACCGATGAAGGACATGACGAGCACACGCACCGATGAAGGACATGACGAGAGCACGCACCGATGAAGGACATGGCGAGAGCACGCACCGATGAAGGACATGACGAGCACACGCACCGATGAAGGACATGACGAGCGCACGCACCGATGAAGGACATGACGAGAGCACGCACCGATGAAGGACATGACGAGCACACGCACCGATGAAGGACATGACGAGAGCACGCACCGATGAAGGACATGGCGAGAGCACGCACCGATGAAGGACATGACGAGAGCACGCACCGATGAAGGACATGACGAGAGCACGCACCGATGAAGGACATGGCGAGAGCACGCACCGATGAAGGACATGACGAGAGCACGCACCGATGAAGGACATGGCGAGAGCACGCACCGATGAAGGACATGACGAGAGCACGCACCGATGAAGGACATGGCGAGAGCACGCACCGATGAAGGACATGACGAGCACGTGCAGGCGCAGCATGAGCGGCACCGGACACGTCACTCCCGCCGCACGCAGCCTGGCACAGGGTCAGCCAAGAGCACAGGTTGGCACCGCGTGGAGAGTGTTGGGGGGAATACATGGGGTTTGGGACAGAGGATGTGCAGAGCGCGCTTGACGCGTGCAGTAGCGTGCCTTGCTGACTTACAAACCGCAGTGCCTTATAGGGTCGATGGCACGCAGCCAACTAACTAGCACAGTGAGGCAGCCAGGCAAGGGGACAGGGAGGCAGGGAGGCAGGGAGGCGCGGGGGGCGGGAGGCGGACCTGTTGAGGTTGCGGAACTCCTTCTCCGCCCACACCTTCACCATCTTGCGCGGGTTGTGCTTGCTGTACCCGTGCCGGAACCGGTAGTCCCCCGCCACGTACCGCTCGCGATCCCTAACGGCAGGGGGGGGTTGGGAAGGGCGCGGGGGGGAGGAGAGGAGAGGGCGGTGAGAGAAGGGGCGGTTGCAGTAGAAGCGCATGAGCAGCAGCACGTGCGTCCGTGTGTAACGCTTAATGGTTTGCAGTAGAAGCGCATGAGCAGCAGCACGTGCGTCCGTGTGTAACGCTTAATGGTTTGCAGTAGAAGCGCATGAGCAGCAGCACGTGCGTCGACAGGGGCACTGGGTGGGCGGCGCTCACTTGAACACCAGAATGGACGTCTTGTACACCTTCACCGCCAGCTCCTTCACCGCCTGCCCCTCCCCTTCCTCCACACCCGCCCCCTCCCCGCCCGCCCCACCCCCCGCTGCAGCGGCCATGTGTAGCGCGGAGGGGCGGTCCACCGTGGCGTGGTACACGTTGGCCTGGGGAGGGGAGGGGGAGGGAGGGGTGTGGAAGAGGGAGTGGGAGGAGGGCGTGGCGGGGGTGAGGGCAGGGGTGAGGGCAGGGGTGAGGGCAGGGGTGAGGGCAGGGGTGAGGGCAGGGGTGAGGGGAGGAGTGAAGGGAGGAGTGAGGTGGGGCGAGGGGAGGGGGGACTATCCCCCAGTGAAACAATCAGAGGCCGGTGATTTACCCCCTGGCCGGTGGAGAGGCAGCCGTTGATATACCTCCTTGCCGGTGGAGAGGCAGCCGTTGATTTGCGAGAAGACCCCGCGGTTGAGCATCTTGAACAGCACCATGCGCGTGCGCGGGTCCAGCACCTGGGGGGGGGAGGGGGGGAAGGAGGGGTTGTTGGGATGATAATACATGAACGGAAGGGGGAAGGGGCTCGGAAGTAGGAAGGAGCCTAGAGGCAGGGGAAAGGGGATGTTGGAGGATGGGGGAGTGGAGTGAAATGTGATGCGCGAGAATGATGAGCAAAGCCGATGAGAGTGGGAGGGGGGATGGCACGGGGGTGCTTGGAGGGGGGGAGACAGCTGGCGGGGAGACGAGGGTGGAACAGAGCCGGCGCGAACGCCAGTCTCCGTGTTCCCAGTTGCCCTCTTTATAGTCACCTGCTCCACTGTGGCGCGGTCTGCCTTCTCCTTCACCCTCGTCTGGCCCTGCTCCTGCCGCTTGTTGCTGTCGCGCACAGCTGTCATCACCACATTCGCCATGTTCGGCTGACAGCTGTCGCCCCAATCCTGCCACGTCAGCATGCATTGACACAGCAGAGTGGTGCACGGGGTTGAGTGCGTGGGGCGGGGCATTCAGAGTGCTGGACGAGTGTCGTCGCTCATGCAGGCAGCAGCATCAACATTCCAGCCCTCTGTCTCACTCAAGGCCCAAAACCCTCGCATGCGAACCCTAACCCTCGCGTGCGAATGCTAACCCCTCGCAGCAAGCCCTAAACCCCTGGCATCACCCCTCACCCGCATGGGCGCAGCGTTCACTCGAGCGGTCAGGCGCTGCTGCTTGTTCACGCGCGGCTGCATCGCCCCCGCCGTCCCCCCCGCTCCTGCGCCCCCTCCGCTGCCCTTCCCTGCGCCCCCAAACGCAGCCGCGCGGGCGTGCGCGTGCGCTTGGTTCAGCTGCCCCCCAAAGGCGTTCGGTCGCCGCGCCGCGGAGAAACCGCCGCCGAACGTGCCGCCGCCGTTGATTCCTCGCGACGCGAGGTCTGGGAAGATGGTAGAGAGGGCACGAGAGACGGAGGAGCGACAGGTGAGTGGGCGCGCACGGTGGGGGTGGGACGGGCCACACGATGATGCCTGGGGGCCGGGCGCGCGCATCCAAACGGCGGGATGGACGCGAATCGCACAGCCCGATTGCACGCTTTCGACCGAAAAAGATGTTTTACGCTACCTTCTCTCGGGTCCAGCCAATCAGCTACCTTCTCTCAGGTCCAGCCAATCGAGTGCTTCTAAAACCTCCTCCTCCACCTCTCCCTCCCCCGCATCGCCCTCGTCTTCCGGCCAATCATCGTCCTCCACGTCATCCCCCTCGGCGGCACCAGCAGAGGGCTCCGCGGAGTCGTCGGCGTGGAGGCGCGAGAGCGTGTCGAGCAGCAGCTGCTGCGACGCCGCCGACAGCGGCGCGGCCGCCTCGCCCTCTGCCACAATGCTACCGGCCTCTATGCTACCGGCCTCCATGCTACCGGCCTCTATGCTACCTGCCCCTATGTTCCCTGCCTCAACGACTAGCGAGTCCGCCGCTGGCAGAGGGGATGACGATGGTTCCACGCGGCACGTCATGACGACTCGGCGACGGCTGGGACTGTGAAAGTGAATGTGAAGCAGAAACCCCGGTTTCGGGTTGAGCAGGGTTTCGGAGTTCTATCTGGAGTACGCGCTGATGAGTTGTAGTGGGTTTCGTTTCAGACTGTTTCGCTGTGAACACAGCGCTCTAAGGAGCGCCTTTTCCAAGGTCGTTAACCTCACGTTTGCATCTTAACAAAAATACCGTAACAATTCATTTTGGCCTCTTCCTCTTTCCAGTGTTCATGTGCCACCTCAGATAAGAGGCTTGCAATGGAGAAAGAATAACTACTAGATAGCTGATTTGGCTGCGGGTAGCTCTCCCTACAGCTGTGGCCACTGGCCACCTTCCTATACATCACGGAATGTTGCTCGGCTGCTCGTCGGCAGGCGTGCCTGTTCTCCTGCCCGCATGAACACTCGCAAGTGCTCGTGCCGTGGAATGGCATGCCGCGGGGAATGGCATGCCCTGTGGAATGGCATGCCGCGTGGAATGGCATGCTCATGTCTGCCTGCTCTAGAGAGAACGAGAGCCCCACCACCGAATACACGCCATGGTCTCACGGCCAGCATACCTACACTGCTGGATGTGCTTTAAATACGCTGCTGCGTCCCTGCGCCCCTGCTTCCCTGCGCCCTCTGTGCGTGTGTGCTGCCTGCATATGAGGCAGCAGCCAGCGGGCGTGGCCTCTCAGCTGCTGAGCTGAGTGACTCAGTCAGCCACATGCGCAGCACCCCTGCCGGACCCCATCCTGCTGCTCAGACTGCCTTTCAGCGGCCGCCATTTGAAGGGCGCCGGTGAGCACGCCTGCACCACATGCCCTGTGCTGCCCCCCACTCCCCCCTTCCCTCCCATTCTTCCGTCTCCCTCCCCGTTCTCCTGCCCCTGGTCGGCCCTCAGCGCGCCTCTGCTCTCCCTGCTGCTGCCCTCACTATCCTTGCTGCTGCTTCCCTCGCCATTCCTGCTGCGGCTGCTGCTGCTGCTGCTGAGGCTGCGCCGCATGGGGCGGCGTGGGGACAGCCGTGTGTGCGGCAGCAGCAGCAGTTTTGGGTCAAGCTTTACATCCTCCAGAGACAACCACCCTGTGGGAACTACTGCTGCTCCTGCTCCTGCTCCTTCTGCTCCAAATCCTGCTTTTGCTGCTGGTGCTGCTGCTGGTGCTCCTGCTGCTCCTGCGGTTGGTGCTGCTGGTGCTGCTGGTGCACCTGCGGCTGCTCCTGCTGCTGCTCCTGCTGCTGGTGCTGGTATGAAAGCCCCATTGGCGTCTGCAGCAGCATTGCCTGCTGCACTGGTGTCATCTGGTGCCGGTGCATTGACTCTCAAATGCCCTGAAGCGAGCGCCGTGATCCCATCCAAGCACCCCTCCATCTCCCCTGTGACGCTCTCCCCTCTGCCCTCTGGTTCACTGCCTGCCGCCACCGCCCTGCCCTCGCTCTGCCTCTGCACCTCACCACTCGCACTGCCAGCCTCCTCTCTCGGTGCCTCCTTGCTCTGCTGCCCCCTCGTTTCGCCCTCGCCCTGCTGAGTAGCACCATCCAGAGCAGCAGCAGCAGGCGTGGGCGTGGGCGCGGGCGCGGGCGTGGGCGTGGGTGCTGGTGTGCTGCCAGAGGCTGCTGTTCCACTGCCATCCCCTGCACCCGCCATGCTGCCATGCATGTCACCACTGCTGCCGCTGCCACTACTGCCGCTGCTGCCTTGCGCACCCTCTTCCGCATCACTCGCTTTTGCTGCCACCGCCTCACCACCCTCATCCCCTGTGCGGCCTGCCACCGCCTCACACACCTCACCAGCCCCCTGCAACGCCCCGCCTCCTGCCTCTGTTGCACCCTGCACGGCTGCTGCCTCCGCTTGCACACAGTCTGCTCGTAATTCCTCTGCTTCTGCTGCTGCAACTCCACCTTCTGCTCCTTGACTTGCCACGCAAGCAGCACTGTCCGAGTCAGCACCAGCACCAGAATGAGCACCAGGGCCGGCACCATTGCCAGCAGCAGCGCCAGTGCAATCGCTGGTAGGCGGAGCAGCGGGAAGCGCCCTAATGGGGACAGGAGCACCATGTGCTGTGGCAGATGCTGCAGCATGTGTTGTGGCATGCCGTGCTGTATGCAAGGGAGAGGGGGGGAATTCAGCAGAGGCAAGCGAGGGTACACAAGGGACAAGTGCTGGCGATGTAAGTATGGGAGCACTGCCACCACTGCTGCTGCCGGCTTTGCTCTGCACTTCACTAACAGCTTTGACGCTGTTGCCACCACCGCTGATGCTGCTCTCACTAGCGCTGCTGCCATTAGTGGTGCTGCTTGCACCAGCACCCACGCTGCTTGTGACACCACCCACGCTGCTTGTGACACCACCCACGCTGCTTGTGACACCACCCACGCTGCTTGTGACACCACCCACGCTGCTAGTGACACCACCCACGCTGCTAGTGACACCGACAACGCTGATTGTGACACCACTCACACCCTTGCGCGGGGGCTGGGCGCTGGGCCTGTTACTGCTGCTGCTCGTGCTGGTAATGGTCTTCTCCACGTTGCTGCTAACCCCCTTGATGCTACCCTCCCACGCGCTGCTGCTGCTGCTGCTAAAGCTGGCCCGCCCTGTCGCCCGTCCCTCCGCGGCACCGCCCCACTCCTTCACTCTGCTCCCCCCCGACCCCCGAGACCCCGACCCCGGCTCCCTGCTGCTCGCTCTCCCACCACTCGCCCCGCCACTCCCGCTGGCGCTGCTCCAGTCAGCTCCACCGCCCGCCTTCTTCCCCCCACCTTCCCCCTCCGCCGCGCCTGCCGCACCTCCCCCCAGCCCCAGGGCGGAGAAGCGGCCGCGGCGGTAGTCGGAGGCGAGGGAGGAGAGCGAGCGGAACAGCGCCTTCACAATGCGCTTCGTGCCGCTGCCCACGCCCCCCGACTGCCCTGCCGCTCGCCCTGTGCTCGCACCGCCATCTGCCTTCGCCCCGGGGCTCCTGCCAAACGCCGCTGCCAGGCTCCGCACCGCACTGTTTGGCGTGCCGCCCGCACTGCCGCCCACACTGCTGCCTGTCCTCGCCGCCCATGCCGCCCCACTCGTCCCACTCACCCCACTGTGTCCCCCGCTCACCTCCCCCCCCCCATCCCCTTGACCATCGCTCTCCCCCACCCCCCCGGCAGCGCCGCCTGACACGGCGTGCCTGGCGGCCCTCCTCAGCGCGGACGCAGCAGCAGCCGCAGCAGAGCGAGCAGCGGACACAGGTGGGGCGGAGGGGCGGGGGGAGGGCGTGCGTGGCGACTGGGGGTCGCCCTGCTGTGCGGGGTGCTGTGGGTCCGGTACCTGCAGCGCTGCCACGCGCCCACTGGCACTCGCTGGCCTCGCTGCCCCGCCTGCCCGCCCCTCACTCCCGTCCCTCCCGTCCCTCCCTGCGCTCACGCCAATTGCTGCTCTCTCACCCTCGCTTGCGGCCTGAGGCTGCGGCACGGGCAGCACGGGCGAATTAGGCAGGGGCGTGTGCGAGAGCCAGGGGTGCTGCAGCAGGAGGGGCGCGGAGAGGCGGGAGGCGGGGCTGGGGTCCAGCAGGCGGCGGATGAGCGCCTTGGCGGGCGCGGAGACGGACGGCCAGGGGGGCGCGTCCAGGTTGAGCCGCCCCTTGGTGATCGCGCGGAACACCTTCTTCTCCGTGTCGCCCACGAACGGCAGGTCGCCTGCTAATAACGAGTACAGCACCACGCCCAGACTCCACATGTCTGCTGACGTGTCATAGGACCGCCGCGCCAACACCTCCGGCGCCACGTAGAAGGGGCTCCCCGCGAAGCCCTGCGCCCTCTCCCCCGGCCCCAGGTGCAGCGCCAGTCCGAAATCCGCCAGCTTCACGTGCAGTGGGGGGGGCGGAGGGGAGGGGGAGGGTGGGCAGGCGGTGGGGGTGGCAGAAGGGGGAGGGGATGTTGGAGGGGTTGTGGCGGGATCTGCAATGGTGGGGAGGCAGTGGAGGGGGGAGGTGGGGAAGGCGGAGGAAGAGGGGGAGGGGAGGGAGGAGTGGCGTAGCAGAGAGCCGGGATGGGGGGTGGTGGAGTGGGGGATGTGCGGGGAGTGGTCGGGAGGGGTGACGGACGACGCGAGCCAGCGCTGCTCGAGGGGCGACAGCATGCCGTCGTTCCCCTCGTCGTCCCTCTGCTCCCTCGGCTGCCAATCCTCCACCGCCGCCACCGCCGCACTGCCCCTCTCCCCCGCATCCCCACCTCCCCCGCCCTCCGCCCCCCCTTCCCCCTCCCCCCCCGCGTGGTGAAGCAGCAGGATGTTCTCGGGCTTCAGGTCGCGATGCAGCACGCCGCGCGCGTGGCAGAACGCCACCGCCTCCGCCAGCTGGCGGAAGACGACGGCGGCGTCCGCCTCGGAGAAGCGCTCGCGGCGCACGATCTCGTGGAAGAGCTCGCCGCCGTGGCACAGCTGCATGACGAGATGGACGGCCGAGATGTCCTCGAAGGTGGCGTGCAGCTGCACGATGTGCGCGTGGTGGCCCAGCTGCTCCAACACCTGATGGCGCAGGGGGGGAGGCAAGCGCAAACCCAGGGGGGAGATGGGGGAACAAGGGGAAGCAGGAGAGGGAACAGGAACGCAAGCCCCCCTCCCCACTCACGCCGCCCCCCTTCTCTTTTTCACACACAATCCCTCGCAAGGAAGAAGGGGAAGGCAAGGAAGAAGGGGAAGGCAAGGAAGAAGGGGAAGGCATGGAAGAAGGGGAAGGCATGGAAGAAGGGGAAGGCATGGAAGAAGGGGAAGGCATGGAAGAAGGGGAAGGCATGGAAGAAGGGGAGTTCAAACGGAGAGTTGATCGGCAAGCCGTCGTTCGCCTGACGGACGACCAAACAGCTAGCCCATGCCAGCTGAGCGACTACTGCCAGCTAAGCGACTACTGCCAGCTGAGCGACTACTGCCAGCTGAGCGACTACTGCCAGGCAACAGTGCCGTTTGACGAGGCCAAAACGGCGAGCCGCAGAAAAATGCGCGAAAGCGCCGCGTCTCCGCACCTCGATCTCTCGTCGGACGTCTGCGACGTCAGCGGCGCAGCGAAGGTTGTCCTTGAGAATGCTCTTGCACGCAAACTTCTCCCCCGACGCCAGGTGCCGACACACGCGCACCACCGACGATGCTCCATGCCCGATCTCCTCCAAGAACTCGTACAACGTGCTTATATCGGGCGACGGTCGTGATAGAATGGGATCCCACAGCCCCATGGCCTACAGCGATGATACAATGCTTCGCCTATCCTCGTTATTGCACAAACGGACACTGAGCACGAGCTCCGCCTGTCCTCGTCATCGAGTAAGCGGGCGAAAGACAGGAGCTTGAGCCTGCTCCTTCCCTGACAAGCTCGATGAGCGGGTGATGAGACGAGACCAGTGATGCAGCATTGCCTAGCAAGCACTCGGCTGTATCTGAAATGCTGCTGCTGTGAAATGGAGCTGAAATGACCGCCACACCATCAAGCAGGCATGGCATGAAAGCCCATTGATGTCTGGCTGGCAGCTGCTGTGAGGTGAGGTGAAGCATGTGCGGTGCTGCTCTCCGCCGAGTGGACGGCCAGCAGTCAAAATAGAGGAGCGCAGCGGAGCGGAGAAAGCGGGGGGGAAAGCAAGAACTGGCGGATGTGACATTGAGGTGGGGGAATTGGGGGAACACGGCACACGCACCTCCCCCGCTTCCCCGAACCAGCCAGCCCAGGCCGGTACTGTACACGCATCTATCGGCGGCACTTTCTGGCACATCCCACACGGCCATTTGGGTTTGACGCGTAGCCGTTGAGCAACCCCGTTCCCAGTCGCTGGAGGGCGGCTGTTGCCGTGAAAAATGTGCGAAAACAAGTTGAAAGGTTACTGGTTACGGTTACAGTACACCTGCTTAGAGTTTCCTGCTTTTGTTCTCTAGGGTTTCCACCAATCCGTGTCTTCGATTTCAAGGCCCTAGAATTGCTCTGCTCACTACTTCGTCTCCCCATCTTCAGTCTCTTCACGACCATTTTCGAGGAGAAGGCTGATCAGAGCGTCTCGACGCGCATTTCTTGCGCAGATCAGGGTAGCACCTTTCCACTTTCCGTCTTAGAGTTTCTCAGCCATGGCCGCAGCGAGCGATGATCTCGAGAAGCTGTACGAACATGGGGAGAAATTAGCGAGCTCGAAGGACAAAACTCAGGTTAGCATTTAGAATTAGAAGGCAGCATTTTCCTGCCAGGACGACCCGGTCTAACGTGCGCTATATTTCTGGCCTTGCAGAACGAGAAGGACTACCTCGGGGTCATCGCGGCGGCGACGGGGAGCAGCAAGGCGAAGCTGTTCGCCGCGCAGCAGATTCCGCGCTTCTTCAAATTCTTTCCGCAGCTGTCCGCCGAAGGCATCAACGCGCAGCTAGATCTCTGCGAGGATGACGACATCAATGTAAGGATGACGACAGCAATGCATGAATGACAACAGAAGTGACTGGTATTGCGAGTTTTTGCTGTGTAACGACGTGATTTGCCAGCGTTGACAGCATGTCGCCCTGGTTTCCTGAACAAGCGATGAAGACATTGTCTAAGGCGATACAGCTGGCTTCCTCTTACGAACCTCTGATGCCATGTTCCAATGATCAGATTCGCCTTCCTGCAATCAGAGGCCTGCCATTCCTCTGCAAGGACACTCCCGAGCATCTCCCCAAGATAGCCGACGTTCTCGGCCAGCTGCTGATTGGAGGTACGGCGAGGGGCGATGGGAGGTAGCACCAGCGTTGATTGGCGGTTTGGCTCTCTTGCCACCGTTGATGCATTCGCGGTCGATTTGGCAGCAGGCCAGGCGTCTCATGGAAGGGCCTGACGTGAGTGTGTGCGTGAATGTGCGTTTCCGTGTGGCTGTGTGTGGCAGAGGAGCCAGAGCACGGAGTGGTGCAGAACTCGTTGATGCAGGTGCTGAGGCAGGACCCCAAAGGTGAGGCAGGACCCCAAAGGTGAGGCAGGACCCCAAAGGTGAGGCAGGACCCCAAAGGTGAGGCAGGACCCCAAAGGTGAGGCAGGACCCCAAAGGTGAGGCAGGACCCCAGAGGTGAGGCAGGACCCCAAAGGTGAGGCAGGACCCCAAAGGTGAGGCAGGACCCCAAAGGTGAGGCAGGACCCCAAAGGTGAGGCAGGACCCCAGAGGTGAGGCAGGACCCCAAAGGTGAGGCAGGACCCCAAAGGTGAGGCAGGACCCCAAAGGTGAGGCAGGACCCCAAAGGTGAGGCAGGACCCCAAAGGTGAGGCAGGACCCCAAAGGTGAGGCAGGACCCCAAAGGTGAGGCAGGACCCCAAAGGTGAGGCAGGACCCCAAAGGTGAGGCAGGACCCCAAAGGTGAGGCAGGACCCCAAAGGTGAGGCAGGACCCCAAAGGTGAGGCAGGACCCCAGAGGTGAGGCAGGACCCCAAAGGTGAGGCAGGACCCCAAAGGTGAGGCAGGACCCCAAAGGTGAGGCAGGACCCCAAAGGTGAGGCAGGACCCCAAAGGTGAGGCAGGACCCCAAAGGTGAGGCAGGACCCCAAAGGTGAGGCAGGACCCCAAAGGTGAGGCAGGACCCCAAAGGTGAGGCAGGACCTCAAAGGTGAGGCAGGACCCCAAAGGTGAGGCAGGACCCCAAAGGTGAGGCAGGACCCCAAAGGTGAGGCAGGACCCCAAAGGTGAGGCAGGACCCCAAAGGTGAGGCAGGACCCCAAAGGTGAGGCAGGACCCCAAAGGTGAGCCACTGCTGAGGCACGACCCCAAAGGTGAGACACAATGGGTGGTGATGCACTATGTGCGCTTACTTGGCATGGTCGCTGCGCAGGTCGCTGCCATATTCATTCCAAATTTAACCACTCTTGTTTGCTAAGAGACATGTGGTGGACGGATGGTGGCGATTGCAGGGAGCCTGGCGGCCATATTCAAGCACATAGAGAGCTCGGAAGACAAGCTCAGGGAAAACGTGCTGTCGTTCATCAGAGACAAGGTGGGCTGTCGTTCATCAGAGACATGGTGTGGTGCTACTGGGCATCCCACCGCATTTATTGTGCTCGTTCATGCCAGTTGGAAACTTTAACAGGTTGTGCTCTCCCCATCCACCGTGCCGCCTTGAAGACTGTAACCTGATCCCCCCCCACCGCGGTGCGCAGGTGTTTCCCAACAAGGCCAGCATCCTGGTGCCCCAGGCGGAGATGGAGAGACACGTCACCGACCTCATCAAGGTGAGACAGACACTCACTCACTCATGACAAGTGCATCTACAAGCATCCGCTGCTGCATGCCAAATGCCCCATTCCATCCCGTCCCGTCCCATCCCATCCCATCCCATCCCATCCCATCCCATCCCATCCCATCCCATCCCATCCCATCCCATCCCATCCCATCCCATCCCTTCCCTTCTCATCCAATCCGATCCCATCCTTTCCTTTCCCTGCCCTTGTCAACCCATGCCATCCAACCGCATGCTGTGCCACGGCAGGGCATTCAGGACGTGACGGGCGAGGAGTTCAGCATGTTCATGGCGTTCCTGCAGGGCCTCGCGCTCTTTGGAGCCAAGGCACCGCCAGAGAGGATGCAGGAGCTGGTGGAGATCGTGGAGGGGCAGGCGGACCTCCTCGCCTCCTTTGACGTAAGCGCGCCTCTGTCGGCCTTTCTTGTCCTCGTTTCTCAACTGTCGTGCCCCCTCACTTGGCCCGAGGCCTCTACACTTCGATGTACTCGCCGTGTTACATTTACTGGTAGCGCTGCCAGTATGTTTTCATCGTCTTTGTTCATCCGTCACTAGTCCTCCATGGCACCCCATGTCATTCCATGGCACCCCATGCCATCCCATGGCACCCCATGTCATCCCATGGCACCCCATGTCATCCCATGGCACCCCATGTCATCCCATGGCACCCCATGTCATCCCATGGCACCCCATGTCATCCCATGGCACCCCATGTCATCCCATGGCACCCCATGTCATCCCATGGCACCCCATGTCATCCCATGGCACCCCATGTCATCCCATGGCATGGCACCCCATGTGCAGGCGTCAGACACGGACCACATTGAGCGGGTCATGGCGTGCCTTCAGATGGCGCTGCCCTTCTTCGCTGTATGTGCCATCATGCCATGCCATGCCATGCCATGCCATGCCATGCTTCCAGCCGCCTCACTGCACCTGCCCCTGCACCATGCTTGCTTCGGACACCTGAATCTCTTACTGGCATCTGCTTCCCCCACCTAGCCTCGTCCCTATCGCCGTTCCAAGGTCATCTCGCACCTGTTTTCTCCCGTTCAACTCATGCAGCCTCTTTCCTTGTCCTTTTTAGTCTTGCATTCCTGTCTTGCATTCCCACTCGTTTCTCTCTTGATTCTCCCTGCTGCTTTCCTCACTGCCTCTTTCCCAGCCCTTGTGTTGTGACGTCAAGTTTGCCCGCTTCACCCTCCCGCTCCCCTTTGCACCGGGTTCTATTTCGTGTCTATCGTTGGCCGTGTTGTCCAACCATCCCCCTTGAACTCTTTCTTCTCGTGTGTCCATGTCATGCATCATCCATCTCCACGTCTCTAGGCGATTTTTTAGAATTCTAAAAAAATCTCCACGTCTGCTGCTAAATCCTTCCCAATGCAGAGGGGCGGGTCCAACAGCAAGTTCTTCAACTTCATTGCCAAGCACATTCTGCCCGCCTTCGATAAGGTACCACGCACACCTCCCCCCTTCGATACAGCACACACACACATCTCCCCCCTTCGATACAGCACACACACACATCTCCCCCCTTCGATACAGCACACACACACATCTCCCCCTTCGATACAGCACACACACACATCTCCCCCTTCGATACAGCACACACACACATCTCCCCCTTCGATACAGCACGCACGCACATCTTTCCCGCCTCGCACTCTGCTTCACGTGTTGCCGTGTGCTCTGTGTCCCGAGCCCCGACTGCTCCCTGGCACACCATTCTCTCCTGCTACCACTGCCCGTGCCCCCCATGCCCCCCATGCCCCCATGCCCCCCATGCCCCCCATGCCCCCCATGCCCCCCATGCCCCCCATGCCCCCCATGCCCCCCATGCCCCCATGCGTGCAGGTGGCGGAGGACCGGAGGGGCGAGCTGCTGCGGAGCATGGCGGAGGCATCCGCGTTCACGTCGCCCACTGACTCCAGACACCTGCTGCCAGGGGTCACGGATCTGCTCAAGGTGTGCCTCTGCTCAAGGTGCGACTCTGCTCAAGGTGCACCTCTGCTCAAGGTGCGCCTCGGCTCAACACCACTCGCCCACTGGTCACGAGTACACTGCCCACTGCCCACCACTGCATCTCTGTTCACCTTGCCCGCTGGCTCCAGACACCTGGTGGGGGGGGTGGCGGAGCTGCTCAAGGCTAGTGCAGGCGAGTCTAGGCGGGATGGGACAACGGCACATTGCCCTGAGAGCATGGCACATTGCCCTGAGAGCATGACACATTGCCCTGAGAGCATGACACATTGCCCTGAGAGCATGACACATTGCCCTGAGAGCATGACACATTGCCCTGAGAGCATGACACATTGCCCTGAGAGCATGACACATTGCCCTGAGAGCATGACACATTGCCCTGAGAGCATGACACATTGCCCTGAGAGCATGACACATTGCCCTGAAACCATGACACATTGCCCTGAGAGCATGACACATTGCCCTGAGAGCATGACACATTGCCCTGAGAGCATGACACATTGCCCTGAGAGCATGACACATTGCCCTGAGAGCATGGCACATTGCCCTGAGAGCATGACACATTGCCCTGAGAGCATGACACATTGCCCTGAGAGCATGACACATTGCCCTGAGAGCATGACAGTCCCCTACCCTTAAGATTGGCCTCTGCATTCATTCTGCCAGCCGTGGGAGTTTGCTGCCCTGCTGATGCTCAACAGGCTGAGGTGGCGCGGCATTCCGTCGCTCTCTCTTGGCCTCCCCTCTCCTCTGCATGGCTCTCGCTGAACTTCTCCCGAGCGAGCTCACGTCCCCAAAAGGGCTCACTTGGAATGAAGCAGCTAAAGGCAGGAGGCTCTTCTCCCCCACGATTCCATGTCCCTCCGGCAGGACTACATGTCGAAGAGGGGCGACGATCTGGACGTCACAGCACTGGAGGCGCTACTGTTCACATTCAACCAGCTCGCTCACAAGGTACTGTTCACATTCAACCAGCTCGCGCACAAGGTACTGTTCACATCCTAGCAGCTTGTGTTAGTGTGCCATACAGTTCTCTTTTGAGTCACATCTATGCAGCATTCACGCCTTGCATGTGAACGCCTGAGAGCGATGTGTGTGTGTCGCTGCCGCATGTGCATCCATGGGTGCGTGCATGTCTTGGATGATGTGTAGCATCAAGGTACATCTGTCTGCTGAAGTACCATTGACCAAACATTCCCACCCTTCCAATGCTCTCCCTGCTGTGCGTGCTTGCCGTCAGACGCCCAACGCCACCAACCCGCTGTGCGGCTACAAGATAGTGACGGGGCAACCCTCTGACCACCTGGGGGAGGACTTCAAAGACCTCCACGCCGACTGGCTCGCCAGGTGAGGCCTGCCCGGTTAACGCCTACCCAGGTGAGGCCTGCCCAGGTGAAGCCTGCCTAGGTGCTGCCTGCACCTGATAATGCCGTTTTGGTAAGGCTCTTTACGGGCTTGCCAAGGTAGGGATTTTTCCTTGTGAACCCTCTCGCTGCCAGCCCCTTGTGCACAGCGTTCTCACGTTGCCCACCTGATGACACCCCCGCCGCCACGGCGCTCCCTTTCTTCCCCTGCTGCACGATGCATGCTGCGTGCGCCGTCACCACCACTGCTTGCTGGTGGCCATGGTGCTGCAGGGTGGCGGGCATGGAGGAGGAGGTGCGGAAGCGCAGCAAGGCGGTGCTGCAGGAGGTGGCGGATGTGAGCAAGGAGCAGCGCACCGCCAAGGACGACCAGACAAAGACCGACCTTGTAACGCCCCCCACCCCTCCCTGCCTGCTGTGTGGGCTCGCCTGAGTCTCTCTGTTCAACTGATGTGGCAGTGCCTCATCCCTGAGGGCTATTTCACACTTTCTGTGCCGTAGCATGCTCCACACGCGCTCTTGCACACATGCTCAACCACTTGCCCACTCACACTTCTCTTCTGGGATACTCATGGCAGAAGGAGAAGAAGGCAGCAGCGGCACGAGTGCTCAAGGCACTGCAGAACATTGAGAAGCTCAGTAAGGTGAGCTGGGTAGACAAGAGGGGGAATCATGCAGCAGTAGTGACACAGCCTACATTGGTCCATTTGAATCACATGTGTTCAGGCTGTCACCAGATACAGTCACAGCTGTACAACCACATGAGGTGGCAGCTTCTGCCGATGGGGCTCAGTCCAGCTGCACTGCCGTGCGAGAGCTGCTCTTGCCTCTTCCTCCCTGCGCCACTGCACTGAGCTACTCTCCGCGCATTACCACCTCATGCCCCTCCACTATCCCCCACATCACCCCTGCATTCTCATCCCCACCCCACCTCCCCCCATCACCCCTCCATCCCTTCAAGGCCAGCACGCCTTGGTTCCTGGGCCGCAAGGCGCCATCCCCACCGCCAGCCCCTCAGAGCAGCACTCCTGACTGTTTCCCACATCACCCCCTTGCTCCCTGCCCCTTGCTCCCTGCCCCTTGCTCCCTGCCCCTTGCTCCCTGCCCCTTGCTCCCTGCCCCTTGCTCCCTGCCCCTTGCTCCCTGCCCCTTGCTCCCTGCCCCTTGCTCCCTGCCCCTTGCTCCCTGCCCCTTGCTCCCTGCCCCTTGCTCCCTGCCCCTTGCTCCCTGCCCCTTGCTCCCTGCCCCTTGCTCCCTGCCCCTTGCTCCCTGCCCCTTGCTCCCTGCTGCCCCACCGTCCAGCCGCTCAAGTCCACCACGCCTCAGTTCCCGGGCGGCAAGGCGGCACCGGCGCTCTCCTGGAAGCCGGAGGCCGCCACCCCCGCTGCTGCAGGGCCCTCTGCCGCCAAGCCAGTGCCAGCACAGGCAGTCGGGTAGGTCCTCCTCCTCTCTTGCTTTAGCATCCTTGCAGCTTGTGTTTCGCCCTACCAGGAGCCTGCAAATGACCCAGGACGTGTGTTCCTGTGCTTCAACTCATTAAACTTATTTCACCCATCCCCTACGGCATGCAGGGCGAAGCGAGCTGCAGGCGCAACCAATGGCAGGGGAGGGGCAGCGGCACCGCAGCAGAAGAAGGTGCGGCAGGATGGCAGCGGGGGCAGCGGTGGTGGGAAGATTATTGGGCGGGCCGTGCAGGGTGTTCAGGGGGGTGGTGGGCAAGGCGGAAGAGGTGGTGGTGGTGGGAGGTCCAGAAGGCCCTGGCGGAGAGGGGGGAGGATGTGACTGCTTTGTTTGATTTTTCTTAGCTAGTGTTTTGCCCCCTTTTTTTTTGCATGGTCTGGTATGAAAGAGGTCAAAATGGATAGAATATTTACCTCCTATTACGTGAAATGCATCAGCCCTGGAGTGAGTGCAAGGCCATAACCTAGGTTCACATTTACGCATGCATTCATTGCACTAAGTCTCCAAGAACGAGTTTGTATCGTTGACTTGAGGACACTGTTTCAGTGTACTTGATTTCAGATAATCAGATCAGGTAACAACTTCGTCGTTGCGTCGTTTGCGACGGGTCAATAGGCCAAAAACTCATCTCGCTGCGTTCAGATGTTTATCGTGCGACAATGCGACGGTAACGACTACAAACAAGACCGAAGGCGCCTGCCCTCAAACAGCCTCGGACCGCTGCTTGAGGCAGTGAAACGAAAATTGCCCGCGAAAGCGAACCGCATTGCAAATGTCGGATTCTGAGCGAAGCGCGAAGCGGAATCCATCACCTCCCACCTCGCTCCAATCGGCTACACCTGTTTTCTTATTTCGTTTCTCGGTTTTTGCACGCGGTTTAAGCCTGTAAGCAGGAAATTGTAAAACACGGGCAAACGGGACTTTGAAGGGGAAATCCCACAGTAAACAATAAAACTTGGTTACAAAACCTCGCTCATGCAATAGATTGGTTGCCTGCGCGACGTTCCAGCTCTGAAACTCGCAATTGTCGAAATACAACTTGGTAGTTCGTTATCGTTCAGACTGCAGCCAATCAGGTTCAGTGTCAACGCGAGTCATGCTGAGAACCTGGCAGGTGAGATTGCAATTTGGACTGTTCGGGGTGGAACAATAGAGGGGAAAAGGTGTACAACTCCCCCTCCCCTTCCTCCGCCATCCTGGCACTCCCTCGAGTGGCAAGGAAGAAAATGTTTCTCCCAAGAGTAAGTCCCACACACACTGAATGCGGTGATGTACGGTGCTACGCTTTGGAAAGTGGTTTCTGCTCTTCACCGTTTGAACCCTAAAGAACCACACTGTACCGTATAGAACGTAATGGACGTACTTTTGGGACACACTTTGAGCCTCCACCCGTCACGCGCCCGTCTGCACACTCAAACGCAGTGCGAGGTACAACCGACACTGCCACATCAGACCTGTCTGGTCGGTCTCGCTCTGGCTGCTGACTCTCGCATTTGCAACGAGAAAGAAGTGGGACGAAGGCCCCTGTGCGGGCTTTTGCACTGGCGCCATCCGCTGTTGGGGTGCTTGTTGATGGACGCATTGCCGATCATAATTCAGTCCGCCACATCGTGCCTATGGCGACGTCGGCTCCACAAGCAAGTCAGTTACCGGCGAGACAGGAAAGTGCGTGAAATATTGCCTCCTCTGCCAGGTGGACGAGGCAGTAAGCTGACGATCCAAGTAGTCTGACGATCTAAGTAGTCCTTCAGTGTACTTACTAAGTAGTACAATACCGCGTAACACGCCTTGACTTAGGCATCGCTCTCCTCTCGCGTGCGGCGCGGCGTATTAGATCCCTCCACCCCCCTCTCCTTGCGCTGCGATTTCATCCTCGACTCCCAGTGCGCACCGCAGGAAGCCATGAAGCCACGAGATGGCGCATAATGCGGGTCGTGTCAGTAGAGGCAGAGCGCACCTGGCGCTGCAGTTTTAACCGTCTCAGCAAATCGTAGCAAACTGTTTCATCGCGCATCAGGGCACCGTAGATTCTATACCGTAGGTTTGGCAACCTCTCACGTGTGGCCGTTGATAGAGGAGCACCACACTCGAGCTGCCATGCGGTGGCTATGCAGCAGACGCGGCAGCAGTTTAGCCTTACAATGTACTGTGTTGACGTGGAGCGTTCTCATTGGCCTAGCACTGTCGTGCGATCCGTTCGACGGCAAGTGGGTGGCGGACTCGTCGCGGCCGCCCTACGACGAGAGCTGCCCCTTCCTCGTAAGCCCGCCGTGCTGCCTCCGTGCTCGCCCGCCCCTCGTCGCCCCCCTGCTCTTGCTCACATGCACAGCCCGACCCTCTTCCTTCCTCTTCCCCTTACGCTTCCCCCACCCAGCTAGCTCCCCCTCCCCTCACTCTCGGCACCTTTCCGATCTCCCCCTCCTCCGCTCCCCGTCCTCCCCCTGCTCTCTCCCCCGCAGTTTCAGTTCTCCCGGTGTCGCGGCAACGGGCGGCCGGACGGCGGGTTCGTGCGGTACTCGTGGTACTCCAACAGCTGCGGGCGCACGCTCCGATTCAACTCCAAGTGCGTCCCGGCGACTACGCCTCTCGCTGCGCCATCGATAGTTCCTTCGTCGGCGCTCCCTTTTCCCGCCATACGCGCTCGTCTCAGCCTCTTCCGAGCGCCGCCACACTGTCCGAGGCCGCTGGAATCGTTGTCTCGGAATCGGTGCCCGCCGCCCTTCCATCCCCAGCACCATCTCGTCAGTCGTTTTCCCCCTCCCTTCGCCTCCCCCGTCCACGTCTTGCCTCTAAAACTGCAGCACCCCTTCCTGTCCCCTCCAACAGCATTTTCTTCCCCCACCCCCCCCTCCCCCGGCGCTGTTGTGCTGCCCCGCCCCCTGCACTGTGTACCGAACCTGGACCCGAAAATGAACCCGCAGGGCGTTTCTGAACATGATCAAGGGCAAGACCATCGCCGTCATCGGCGACTCGCTCACCGCCGCCAACTTCGTGCCGTCGCTGCTGTGCCAGGTGAGAGGACCCTAGAGGCGGTGCTGTGCGAGGTGAGAAAGCCCTCGAGGCGCTGCTGTGCCAGGTGAGAGGATCCTCGAGGCGCTGCTGTGCCAGGATGCGACTGTGCCAGCTCCATGGCGCATATCCATTCGTTTTTATCGTCGCACCCGCCCTCCCTCCCCGCCCTCCCCGCCCTCCCCGCTCTCCCCGCCCTCCCCGACTCTCACGCTGCTAGCGGGGCAGGCACTCCTCGATTGCCCTTTCCCCGCATCCGCTCCTCTCGGTGTGCCCCTCCGCCCTCCACCCACCTTCCCCCGCGCGCCTTGCCTCCGCGTCAGATCGACTCGGCAACCGCCGTGAAGAACGGGTCGTGACGCATGCTAGACGGCGGCATTGGCGCGCAGTACATGCGGGCCATGGTGGCCCGCTACTGGCTTCTCACTCCGTGTGCACTCACCTCTCTGCGCGCTGCTGTCCAGATCAACGCCGTAACAACCGTCAAGAACGGGTCGCGGAGGACGTTAGACGGCGGCAGCGGCGCCAAATACATGCCAGCCATGGTGGCGTTCTACTACGACATCCCCGACTATGATGCGCGCATCGTCAGCATCTGGGACGACTACCTCATGCGCACGTCCGTGGGTAAGCCATCAAGGTCAAGACTCTGAAGTTGAGCGCAGTGCGAGCAGCTGGGGCGACTGCCTCATGCGCGCGTCCGTGGGCACGCTGTGTTGAGGCGCCATGGTGGAGAGGCGTCGGGCACTTTCCTGGGTTAGTTGGGCAAGCGCGGTACGAAGTGAGGTGAGGAGGTGAGGTGAGGAGGTGACGTGAGGAGGGGAGGTGAGGAGGGGTGGGGTGCCTGGCGCGCACCCCCGTGGGTGAGCGCGTGCGAGCGATGGAAGGGTGGGTCCCAGCCGCGCTCGGATGTCCTCCTGTGCCCACAGTGGCGCGCGGATGCTCCCGTCTTCGCTGCTCTCCGCCAAGTCCCCTGCAAGTCTCTCAATCGACTCGCGCGCCCTCCTCTCTCCCTCTCTCCCCCCACCAGACAAGGCCATGCTGTCGAAGCTGGCCATCGGCTTCACGCCCGGCCCCGACGACGCCATAATCGATCTGGAGACGGTGAACCCGCAGTGGGGCGACGTGGTGGGCGAGTGGCACGCCGTGGTGCTGGAGACCACCACGCACTGGCGCGTCGTGCCGGACGCGCCCCGGCTGATCTTCACGAATGACCAATGGCAGACGCTCAATGGCGTCGACCCGTACATGGCGCACGCGTGAGTCGTGGGGGGGCTGCATGGGGATGCGATGCGTGCGTGGGATGGGAAGCCGTGGGGCATGGCAGGCACGTGGGACACGGTGCACGCAGGAACCATGGGGGTCGATGGGGGGGCATGTGTGCGTGGGATGGGCGGGCATGTGTGAGTGGGATGGGGGGGGGAGCATTGGGCATGTGGGAGGGATGCCTGGGGCATGTGTGGGGGGTGGGGATGAGGTGCACTTACACACATGCAGCGCACGCACATATGACTCCGCCCCCGCCCTCCTTTGATGTCTTCCCCCCCCCCCCCCTCTCCCTTTCCCCCTTTCAGCCGCGCGCTGCGCAGCATCGCCAACTTCTTTGAGGCGCGGCGCAAGGCGGGCAAGGCGCTCCCCGTGCCGTTCTTCATGACGGCGCCGCCGCAGCACAGCGCCAAGAAGATCGGCGGCAGCGGCGTGTGCGGCTCCAAGGCGCCCGTGCTGGGCGAGAAAGACATCGAGAAGATGCTGCGGACCAACGTGCAGATGTCGCGCTACTGGCCCATGCAGCGCGCCGCCTTCCCATCGGGATCCGTTGTGAGGCGCTTCGACATCACGATGGTCAGTGCGTACCGGCCCGAGGCGCACTGCGGGATATACTCGAGGAAGAACAACGTGAGTGGATGTGGCTCGCATTGCCTCTCCTTCCCTCTCCGACCGTGTGAGGTGGATCAATACCTGCTGTCAGCATGGCAGTGAAAGCGTTACTTGGTCATCCACGGGCACGAAGGCGTCCAATGTCTCCACCTCAATCCCTTCCATCCGTTCCTCCCTCTCTCCCCCCCTCTCCCAATCCCCCAAACCCCAATCCCTGCGCCCTAACCCGTGCAGCCGGTGAAGTCGCTGGACTGCCTGCACTGGTGCCAGCCGGGCGTGCCGGACATCTGGGTGGACCTCTTCCAAGAAATGCTGCTGGACGAGCCGCTCCTCACCGGCACCACCAAAGCCCCCACCACCGCCTCCAGCAAACCCACCTCCAAACCCAAACCCAAAACAAAACCCAAGCCCAAGAGCCCTAAACCATCCCCATCGCCGTCCAAGCCCAAGCCGTCCCCACCGCCATCGCCACCGCCGCCCAAGCCATCCCCATCGCCACCCCCGTACGTGCCGGAGGACCCCACCAAGCCAAACCACTTCAAGCGCAAGCCCGGCACATGAGGGGGAGGACGGGGCGCTCAATGCTCACATGGCTTGTGCATAGCGCGGGGATGAGCCACCCGAGGGGCGATTTCTGAAAATGCAGCGGTGGAGGAACGGGGTGGCCATGGTGCATGGCAGAGCAGAGGTGGCTTTTCTAGCTTATGGGTTAGTTCCCAACCTGGGCCGTCACAAGCACATCCCCCTTGTGCTACGGGCCTTCTGCAGTGAACGCCCATGGTTGACCGTACCTGAAAGCGCTAAAGAAAACGTATAGATGCATTTTGATGTAGCTCACGTTTATGGCCTTATGCCTTATCACCAATTGTATTCATCCAAACTTAGCTAACCTAAAGGCTTGCACGATCGCTACTTATCGCGTACGCTTGACCGACCTCAAAAGCACAGCCTTGCAGACACACATACGCACTCTCGGGAGTAGGCCTACTAAGAGCAGAGCCCCGCCGAACAGCACAGACCACGCATCTCACTCGTTCCTGGCCTGCTCACCACCGCTTGCTCCATCGCCGCCTCACGCCCAGTCGCCTCCACTCGAGAACCGACTTCACTGTCACACCGCCCTCGCCTCGCGCAACCACGTCCCCTTCGCCGCTCGTTCTCTCCTCTGTGCGGAACGATGCTTCCGCCCTTGTCTGCGCCATCCGCGCACGCGCTCAGCGGGGAGGGGCTGCGCGGCGCCAATATCTGCGGTGCGTCGCATCTTGCCGTGGGACGCGCCTCCCACAAGCGCGCGCCTGCCGCCTCATTTTCCACTGCGGGTCGCGCTTCCGCTCGCGTGCGCGCAGCGGCCGCAGATGGCAGTGGAACGGGGGACCGCTCGGAAGGGCGGAAACTGTCGGGCGCGGAGAGGCGCTGGGCTGAGGCGGAAGCGCGCAGAGCGGAGGGGGAGCGGTGGGGAGGCGAAAAACAGCTGCAGCGGCAGGGGGAATGGTGGAGAGCGGAGGGGAGAAAGGCGGACAGTAAGGGTTCGTGGCAGCGCGATGCAGGGTATGCTGATGACGTGGCAGCTGAGGATAGGCTGCGGGAGGAGCGAGGCGGAGCCGTTGATTGGCTGATGCGGCCTTCCAATGAGGATGTGGATGCGGAGTTGGTGCGCAGTGGGGAATGGAACGAGAGGGAGGGGGGGGGAAGGGGGGGCGCTGATAGGGTGAGCGCAGGGGATTGGAATGGGGGGGAGTGGAGCGCGGGGGAGAGACAGGGAGGGGGGGGGAGAGGCAGGGAGGAATGCGGGGGAGGGAGGGCGGGTTTGCGGAGGGATGGATAGGGGATGGCAATGCGGAGCGATTGAGAAGGGATGGCACGGGAAGAGGCAGAGGGGATGGCGCGGGAAGAGGCAGAGGGGATGGCGGGATGGAGAGAGGGAGAAGGACGGTGGAGGATGATGGCTTGTGGAGTGGGAGAGACAGAGACGTGCGAGGGAGCATGGGTGCGGGCACGGGTGGTGGCGACATGAGCTTGAGGCCACAGCAACAGCAAACGCAGCAACTGCCGCAATCATCCCCCCCACAGCAGCGGCTGCAACTGCAGCGTCTCTCTTCTCCCTCCTCCCCCCTCGCACCCATCTCCCCTCCCCCTGCCCCACGCCTCCAGCTCCCCACCTCCACCCCTGCCCCTGCTCCCCGCCCCCTCCCCTCCGTCCTCCCGCTGCCCCCCGCGGCGCTCGACTCTCTCCTCCCATTCGCTGGCTCCGGCTCCCAGGTCAGCCGCCCATCGAGCGCGTGTGCCCTCGGGTGGCTTTTCGCTCTGGCTTGCGGGCATTCGATTGGCTGTGGGTGGCGATAACTGGGTGCTGGCGGACCTGCTCTCTCATTGACGCCCTCTCCCACTCTCTCACGCGCTATCAGCCCTGTCCGTCCGCTGGTGCTGGCTTTCATGGGCCACCCCTCGAGTGGCACTTTCTCGCTATGGGCTGCTGTGGCCTCCACGCTCTCCCACACACACTCGCTCATACTCTCTCCATGCATTCTCGCTCACTCACGCACACGAGCAGGTGGTGGCGTTCATGGGGTCGCCCCTGGACTGGCTGCAGCGCTTCGTGCTCTCGATGGGGTGCGCTGTGCTGCTCTACAACGTCAACGTGTATGCCACCATCGGCACCGCCATGTACTGGCTATGGTGGCCTCTTTGGCGCGCTGCTGCCACCAACACTGCACTCAGGAGTCGCTACAAGCATGCAGGTGAGTAGGGCTCGATGTAAGCATGCAGGTGAGTGGGATGCGGTATATGCATGCAGGAGATCGTGGTCCAGTGAGGGCCACAAGCACAGAACGGTGTCATGTGTCGCCATTACTCAGCCATACCTCCCCTGTATGCCACCTCCCCTGTATGCCACGTCCCCTGTGTGCCCACATCACTCACCCTCCCCTCCCACTGCCCCCTGGCCACCAGTGCCCCTCAGGAGTGTGGTTGGCACCACCTGCAGGTGGTGTAAAGAGGGCCGTGCGCCATATGGGGGGTGCATGCACCGAGGCACACCTCCCCCCTCTGTCGCCTCCCCCACATGCCACCTTTCTTTTCAGGAGTGTGGATGGCGAGCCTCCTGGACGTGCAAGTGGTGCAGAGGGGGCCGCTCGCCAAGTGGCGCCTGCTGATTGGCGATGACAGCGGCACGACCATAGAGGCAAGTGGGAGTGACGTCAGCAGCAGCAGCTCTTTCGTTCACTGTACCTATCAAACCTCCAGCTTCGCTATTCCGCGTGATCTCTTTCCTGCACTCGCGCACACATCCACGCCAACCACTGGTGTTCTCCCCCTGGTTTCCTCTCCTCGCATGCACTCGCTTTGTACCCCCCAACCCGCATTCCTCCTACGGCAACCGGGCATGCAGATGCTGGTGGGCATCCCGTCGCCCGCTCCCCCACTGCGCCGCAGCGACCCCGTGGTGCTGCTGGTGCTGTCCGACCGCCCCTCGCTGCACCGCTTCAGAGCCGTGAGGGAGGCGTGGGTGCCGGGCCATGGCTGCTGGATGGCGGAGGATGGGGAAGAGCGCGTGGAGAGGACGGTGATGGAGGGGATGGCTGCGCGCATGCCGCAGCTGCCGCTGCTGTGAGCCCATGAGCCATGGCGCACTCTCATGCGTTGCTCAAGGCCCATGGGGATTGCTGGACTAGGAAATGGGGGTCATGTAACCGAGGACAGGTCTCGATGAACTTTATTTTTCAAGATCCAATCATGGCCCCGTGGTGGATGTCCAGTCCATGCTATTGTACGCAATGCGCCCGTCCCGTCATTGCAGCTTTGAATACTCATTTATGCAACTTGCATACCCTGGATTGTTATACCGTACATTCAAATACAAACTACCAGCCTGCAGTACAGTACATGGCAACGAAGGAATACCTGCTCCCAGCAGTAAGTTAACCTACAATAGGTACCCATCTGCTCCCCACTGCCAAGTGACCTACCCCCCCTGTAGGAATGCCAAGACTGCCTCTTTGAGACTCGCCCCCCACCATCACTTGCAGTTTGCCCATGCAGCGTTTGCCAACCACTGCCAGCACCCCCTGCTGGTCTACATTCAACATTCAGAAAGCCTCCAGTGTTTGCTGCTGCCGCGCGTGCCTGCTGAGCGGGTGAGTACCTGCACGAGAATGCTTGTTTCCAAACCACCTGTCGGTTCCCCTCTCGCCCCTGCCGCTCAATCATGCCTGCTTTTCTATTCCTCACTCCCCCCTTCACCCACTCCCCCTCGCCCCCTTCACTCACCCCATTCCCCCCCCTCGGTCTACTACCTCCCACTCTCTTTCACCCCCTTTCATTCACCCCGCCCTCCCCCCCTCACTCTTCTCTCCCCTCCTGCTGAACTCCTCGACCAGGCGGTCAAAAGACACATCAAACGCGTCCCTCCACCCCCCTTCGCCCTCCACCGCAACCCCCTCCTCCCCCTGCCCCACTCGCAGGTGGCGGTACAGCAGCTGCGGCACCACCTGCCGGATGCTCGCCTGCATGCTCGCCACACGCTCCTTCGATATCGCCGCCAGCTCAGCTGCCACGTCAACAGTCCCATTGAGCACGGCTTGCTCGTCGAGCGTCACGGAGATGGTGCTCCTATCGGCGGGGAAGTGCCAGTCGTACTGCACGTTGAAGCTCTCTTCCTTAAAGAACACGGGAATGCAGCCTGCTATTAACGAGTCGAACGTGGACCTTCTAACGGAGCTGTCCCCCAGTGGCTGCAGGCAGAAGGTGCTCTGCAGCATCACCACCGCCACCTGCCACGTGTCATAGCACCCCGACGCCACCCACTCCGCCACATCCTCCCCCTCCGCGTCCCCCGGCGCGCCACTTCCCACTACAGCTTCCACCGCCTCCCCCCACCCGCTCTCCCGCACCCTTTCCGCATCTACCGCCGTGAAGAGCGGGAGCTCCTTGCCCACCTCGTCGGGCCCCGTGCACTTCATCCACAGGCACTCCGCCTGCCCCGCACGCTCGCACTGCGCGATCAGCGCCGTGCGCAGCGGCCCGCTCGTCGTGCCCGCGGGGCGGCGTCCGCCCACGTAGGAGAAGCGGAACGGGCGGGGGCGCGCGGCGACGAGCGCGAGCCAGTGGTTGATCTCCGCGAGCGACGCGGGGTGGAAAGTGGTGGTGTACGGTACAGAAAAGATCGGCGTGGCATAGCTCTCCTTATAGGGCGGCTGCTCGACTGTAAGGAATGTGACATTAGCGAGCTCCGGCACGAAAATGACGTTGTAATGCGGCGGCTCGTCCGTCAAATGATGGTTCGCAAAATCCCAAATCGCGCGCCCCAGCACGACCACGTGTCTCGCGCCCTTGGTTCGTTGAAACGCGGGCTGCCCGGAAAGAAATTCCTTGAGCTGGAGCCCCGGGTGCGGCATGTGGCCGGGGTGCAGCGTGTTCTTATACGCGTTCCACCCCATATAAGCGGGCACCAGGAACACGTCAGCCTCGGTATCATCGAGCGTGCGGCACGGGTGGTGCTCCCACCGTTCCCGATACACCGCCTCGATCTGGTGCTGCTCCGTGTGGTACCAGCGGTGCACCCACGCCCACTCGCCCGCCCGCGCCCCTTCCGCTTCCTCTCTCGCGCGCGCCTGCCCCGTTTCCCCCATCTTCGCCTCCAGCAGCGCGGCGACCAGCGCGCGGCCGCCGTCGCGGTTGGCGGGGAGGCGGGGGCCCTGCGCGCGGTTGCGGAAGGCGTCGCACGTGAGCCACGCGAGCAACGGGTCGTCGTCGCACGCCGTGCGACGGATCTCGTCATTGAAGACGGGCGGCATGGAGTAGATGAACACGCGGCGACCGTCGCACGATGGTTGGGCAACAGATGGCGACGGCTGCGAGTGGTTGCGATAGCGAGGAGATGAGGATTGCGCTGAACGCGCAGATGGTGATGACGCGGTCTGGTCGGACGAGGGCGAAGCCTCGTAGTGACCTGCCTCGCCAGCTGCTGCATCCTGCTCCCCAGCTGCCGCAGCGGCGGGGGAATCGTGGGCGGCGGGGGGAGTGCCTTCATTGCCACTGCTAGAAGCTTCACTATCTCCATCGCCATCGGTGGGGCGGCTTCCAGTGGCCGCGTCCACTCGAGCACGATCCAAGCCGCCTCCGTCATCGTCGCCATCGCCCATGTCTCGCGTCCTTTCATCCCCCCCCGCCACCTCCTCATCTCCGGCTCCATCCCCTCTTGCCTCCCCCTTGTGCTGCCCACTCTCCTCTACTGCCTCCTCACTAAGCCTCTTCTCCCACTCTTCCTCGCCACCCCCAGTGTGCCCATCGGAGGTGTCATCCCCGTGGGCCTCATCAATCCGCCGCCCTCCCATCTCCACCTCTTTGCCGTCACCTGCCCCACCCGCATCCCCCGCTTCCGCCTCCTTCTCTGCGACCTCGTCTGCGCCTTGCGCTCCTTCCTCCGCCGCCTTCGCTAGTCGCGTCTTCAGTCGCTCCCCTTGGGCGTCACTCGCCCACCCTCCTTCGTTCCTTTCCGCGTCGCTTCTACCATTTGCATTCACCGGCACTCGCTCCCCCTCCTTCACCGGACGATACGCCTTTCCGCCCACCTTTCTCGGCGCTCTTCTCTCCGAGTCGCCGTCGCCTCCAGCTGCCACGTCATCATGCCTTTTGGCTGATCCGCCCGACAGCCTCGAATTAAGACTCTCGATCGCCTGCAGCCGTGCCACCTCGACAGCCAGCTCAGATGGCCCTACGCCGGTTTCGACGGCGCGAGAGGCGGGGAAGGAGAGCAAGGGCCAGTGGAGCGAATCGGAGGACCAGGCGGCGAGGAGCAGCAGGAAGAGGAGGGCGGCGGGGACTCGCAGCAGCGCCGCGTGATGCGGGGAGCAGAGCGCGCCGTGCAGCCACGAGAGAGGGCCCCGCGCAGGCTTGGCGCGGGAAGAGGGGCAGATGATTCCGCCGAGTGCCGTGACGAGAGAGGAGCGCGTTGGGGAGGGCGGCGAGGAGGCGCGCAGCTTGGATCGGGGGTCAGCGCGCGAGCCAGCACTGGTTGGCGTCGCCATGATGCCGTATCATTCAACGGCGCTGACGTGGAAAGGCTTATCTAGTAACGAAAGGTTAAGGATGGCTGGCGAGAGATTGGTGAGTTAGGCGTGTGCGCAGTGTCGACGGCGGGTTGATTGGAGAAGGTGGAAGTAAGCTTCACTAGGTGCAAAAGGCACTGCGCTGGTGATCCATATGATCGGATCGGAGCCACACTGTGGGGGCAGGGGAGGGGTGCGAGGAAGCGGTGCGAGCGGTAGCGGGCGCTATTCACTGTACTTGCTGGACTACACACTTCTCCGTGGCTTCGACAGTGGACGGACACACGCACGAAGGACTCCTCCACCTGTGTGGTTGAGTTGTGCGTTGGTGTCGCCCATCCGATTGGTTGCTTGATGGTGTCTCGTGGCTTAGTAGGCAAAACAATGTCTCGGAGCGAATTAGCGCCTGCCCATAACCACCCCACCAGAGCACGCTGCGAGCAGGGCTCTGGCTAATAGGGTAATTACCCTTAATGTCATGAAATTAAGAGTTGTTTCGACCTGATTCCGTTTTTCGGCTTAATAGAAGTTTCCTGATTCCTGTCTGTCTAACGAATTATTTTCCTTGTGACTCCTGGATTTTACGGGTTACTTTACTTCGATTCCGTGCGAAGTGCACTTGTAGTAGGAGATCTGTTCGTGATGGTGTATCACCCCCTCCCGCCCTCCTCCTACCTCCACGGCGGCAGAGAGAGAGAGGTTAGTTACGGGATATTTTTTTAACACTTCCAACTGCTCGAGGCATAGTACGTGCGAGGAACAGCCCCTGGGGGTTTGAAGGCCTTTCCTTAGCCATGGCGAAGGCCATTTGTCTTGAGGATGTTAGTATCCAACCAAGAGTGACGCTAGGACGAATCCGTAGTTTAACGGGTAGTTTTCGGCGATTCCGTCCGCTAAGGGGTAATTAAGGGGCCGATTCCGTGACCTAACGGAATACCCCTGGCCTCAGCGAGATTTGGGGCCTTCCTCGAATAAGTTACGTGCCCCCGACTGACCAACCACCCGCCATCAACCGAACCAATCTGCAAATCTGCCAATGTTCACCTCGAGCCGCCAATGTCCAACCCCGGCGACACGCCACACCAATGGAGCGAAAGGCGCCCCGCGAAGGTACGCCTCACCTTGCCTGCATTCAAACGCGACCAACCAGAAGTCGAGTTACGGTCGCAGGAAGGCCGATCTGTGCGCCACGGCAAAGGATGCGTCCGCGTGTTCGATTCCTGTAATTTTGTGAGTTCTCCTAATCGCGTGGAGCTGGCTACACCAATTGTACGAACACACATTCGTTGGCTAATTTCTCCTGATTTTAGCCTTCTTGTAAGGAAATGGTATTTCCTTATCGTTGGGTTTAGTTAGTAAGGCGTACACTGCTACTGTATAACGGGGTTGCCGCGTAGCTCTGCCACGAAATTCAAATCGCGGTACCCAAATGTGGTCTCCTGACGAGCCACATGCATTTTGCCCGCCTTGCTGTTTCATGCCTAGATCTGGTCGCTTCGCCCCAATTTACAAACCGCATGTTGGGCTGAGAAGAGCCCTAGGATCTTTTCAGAGACTAAGTCCCACTTGTATGAAGTGCTCGAGTGGTGCAGCGGAAGTGTTAAGTAGTTGAACCCTTGCACTAGTATATGAGAGCAAGTGATTAATTAAAAGAAACAAGCATATGTCAGGAAGGAAACTAGGCTGTAGGAAAGGATAAGGCCGCCATGAAGGTGGCGGCGGGGTTAAGCTAGGAGAGTAGGAAAAGTATCGAGAGAAAAAGAGAGGTTAGGAAAGAAGAGAGGGGGATACAAAGAGGGGTATTGTACCCCTTACAGTAATATTCAGTAACATCTAATCTGCCAAGTCTACACATTATATAACTCAATATATAATTGAACAGCATACAGTAATATATAGGAAATAAAAAATGAAGCAGTTGTAGAATACAGTTGAACGAATGGTTATCGAGTCACACAGCGACTCGATTGTCGGTTCGGATACCACCCTTGCAGTCGCAACAGTCAATCGCAACCTCCAGTTGCGACCCTTCGAGTTCCTTCACCCTTTCGTATTCTTTCGTCCAATCTCCTCGTGTAACCTCCGTTCACTCGCGTACCCGATACGACTTTCCTCGAGTGTAGTGTTACACTTCAGAAACGCTTAAGTCTTCGAGGTATTTCCAACACTCCCCTTCGTTTCTGGAGTGTTGACGTGTCTAGATTCGGCGACGTTTATCTGCCCGGTCAGCAGCATGCAGTAGTCGAACTTTGCCTTCGCCAGTTTCTTCGTCAGATAATCTGCAGCCATTTCTGTCGTGGGGCAGTAACTGAGTTGAAGTCTCCCCTTCGCGATCTCATCATTGACGAAGAAATACCGCATGGCGATGTGCTTGGTTCGATTGGCGAACCCGTTTTTGTTCGCGATTTTAATCGCGGATTGGTTGTCGCAAAATAACGAGAAGTTGGGCATGGTCGCAATTTTCGCTTCCTCAAGCAGGTCCCGCAGGTAAAGTCCCTCTTTGGTCGCAGAGCAGAGAGCGATGTATTCCGCTTCAGCCGAGGATAGCGCGATTAATTCATGCTTTCTCGATTGCTAGGAAATAGTCCCGATAGGCTCTAGTCGGTAGATGTAGCCTGTTCTGGAACGCCGATTTTCCTTGTCTCCCGCGTGGTCGGCGTCGACATAGCCGAGTAGTTGTACGGACATTGGTGTTAGTTTGCTGTAGGTGAGTCCGACTGTCGGCGTAGAGACAAAATAGAGCAGTGCCCGATTCAGCTCCTCGAGATGCTCTTGCTCCGGCTGCTTCAGGTGTGTCGCTAGTTGGCTGGCGCTGTAGGACAGATCCGGTCGGCAGGTTACTGCTGCGAACAGGAGGCAGTCGAGTTTCTGTTGGTATTCCAGGATCTGCTTAGTGGGGAGCTTCGTGGAGGTGTCGCTGTTGTCGTTCCCGTAGCGATAGGGAGTTGCGGCTGCGGTCGGCGTTAGTCCAAATTTCTTCGCGACGACGCCTGCGTACTTTCCAGCGTGTAGGTAGAACGCCGAATTGTCTTTGATGACGTTCAGCCCTAGATACTGGGTGACGGTGTCTGACACCGTGAGTGCTAAGTCACTCTTCAGCTCCCCTTCAAACCAAGTGACGACGTTGGTAGTGGAGCCGACGTAGAGCAGGTCATCGACGTAGACGATGAGTAGCACGAAATCGCTCCCCTTCTGCAGTCGGTACATCCCTTGGTCGTGCGACAGCTGCAGGAAGCCGATCTTGACGAGACGGCCGTAAAGGTGCTGCTGCCAGAGCCGCGGGGCTTGTTTGATTCCGTAGAGAGATTTTATCAGCTCGCACACTTTTGTGGGATCGTCGATGAAGCCGTGGGGCTGCTCGACGAAGATCTCAGCGTCCACAGGTGCGTACAAGAAGGCGTTGGCGACGTCGATCTGCCGCAGTGGTAACTTTTTCGTGGCCGCGACGGCGAGTAGAATGCGCAGGGCGGTATGTCGGGAGACTGGGGCGAATGTCTCCGTATAGTCGGTTCCGTATCGCTGATCGAATCCACGTACGACCGAGCGAGCTTTGAAGCGGTTGATGGAGCCATCCGCGTTAGTCTTGATTCGGTACACCCACTTCCCCGAGAGCACTTTGATGCAGGTACTAGTTTCCACGTGTTTCGGTCTTGCAGGGCCTTCAGTTCTTTTTCCATTGCTTCCTTCCATTTCGCCTTGTGTTCCCCCCCCAAAGCCTGCGATAGAGTCATTGGCTCGCGCGGCGACGGCGGCGGCGGGCTCTGGATGGCGACCCATAGTCCAAGTATTTGCAGGCCCGTGGGTGTGTGTCGAGGGGAATTTTCATTCCCGGGATAAGCTGCTTCGTCGCCATCTTCAGGATCAGGTAAGAAATTCGGTCCGATGCGTTCAGAGACATTTGTGTCAACCGTTTGAGGTGTAGTGTAGCTCTGGTCAGCGAAGGGGTAGAAGGTGTCGAGGTTGTTACTATCAAGAGGTTTGTCGTCGATAAGTGAAACGGGCACGGAGCAGTAAGGGAGTGGTCCGGCAGCTTCCGAGGCTTCAGGTACGTCTTCTTCTGCTGCGTCAGCTTCGGCAGCACGGTCGGCGAAGGACCGATGGCCCTCGAACCGTCGGTGGGGTCTGCGGTGTTGGCGACGTTGTCCAGGTAATGCTGCAGCGTCAGTCTCTCGTAGAAAATCACATCAGGTGAGGCCACGGTGGTTTTGTCCTGGATGTCGAAAAGTTTCCACACGTGAAAATGTTTTGTGATGCCGAAGTGTAGTCCCCACCGTGCTCGTTGAGAAAATCGTCATGCTCGGGCTATGTGGGGTCTGTACTGTACCATGCAGCCGAAGACTCGAAGTAATTTTGTGCTGCCTACTTTTCCTGTCCTCAACAGGTGTGGTGAAGCGCTGTTGGGAAGTGATGACGAGGACAGCAAGTTGTGGAGGTGGATTGCATGCGTCATCGCGTCAGGCCAAAGGGTGTTGGGCAGTCTCATCCCCAGGAGCAGCTTCCGCATCGTCGTCTGCAAGGTGCGGTTCATTTTCTCTGTGACCCTCTGCTACTGGTGGGCATAGGGCAGGGATACCAGGCGTTTGATGCCTCTTTCTGCCAAGTAGCTCCTGAACCTTTGTGACTGATACTCCAGTGCCCCGTCTGACTGGAAACTCTTGAGTTGGGAGCCCAATTCTTGTTCAGGGATGGGGAGCCACATCGTGAAGGCTTCGAACGCTTGGTCACGAGACTTGAGGTTGAAGTGCCAGACGTATCGTGTGGCTGCATCGATGAACGTGATGACGTAGTTGTACTCTGCTTCACTGTCGTCTCGAGGCATGTTCAAAATATCGCTGTAAACTTTTTCCATCGGTGCATATGCAGGTGCGCTTGGATTGTGGTGCGACGGGAAAGGTTGATGGGGAAGATCAGCTTCTGGGCACGTGAAGCCTCGTGCGCGGGGTCGTTGAAGCTCCTGGCCGTTCGTCGTGAGGAGAGCATCTTTTTCTAATACTATGGCTTGGATGGTTTGAAGAATGGTGCTGTTTGCAGGGTGCCCAAGTCGTTGATGCCATATGTCATCGGGAGCGCAATGGCCAGGAGAACGCTGGTACATGTCGGCGTTGGAGAAGAACGCGACGACCGTAGCAGGACCGCGGCAGACTCCTCGGGTGATGGGCATGAGCTGATCTGCTTTGGTTGGTGGTCCTCGGGTTGCTGGTGATGGCGCACAGCTGGGTCCTGCTGCTGCTACTACAGGTGATCCGGGAAGGGATAC